AACATAAAACACCACATTGGTGGTTACATTGGGAGTTAGTATTAGCACAGGTTGCCCAGAGAGGTGGTGGATGCACCATCCCCGGAGACATTCAAGGCCAGGCTGGATGTGTTTCTGGGCAACCTGATCTAGTAGAAGGTGTCCCTGCTCATTGCAGGGGGGTGGAAATAGATGGCCTTTGAAGGTCCCTTCCAACCCAAGTCTATTCTATGATTCTATGATTCTATGAGCAGTTTAACATGTAGCTGAATGAAAATAGTTCTGTAAAAACAAGCTGCACAACAGTAGTCTTGATTTCAAAACTACCCATGATGGAGAACCCTCTGCAGTCCCTTGGAAATTGTTCCCACTGAAACTATGCCCAGTGCTGGAAACCTGCAACATGTTTCTCCTCTGAGTTTGCCTGGCATCAGCTTCTGGCCATTAGCTCCTGGTAATGTGCTGTTTGCTCAACAGAAAAGAACCTCTATTATCAGAGGTTTATTTCCCAGCTGGGTACTTCAGGATTTTGACCGAGTCATCCCTTAACCTTTTCATCAATGAACAGTGATCTCCTTGAGTCACACTCCAGTTCATGCCTTCCAGCTCTTTATTCATTCACGTGGCTCTTTCGTGAGCTTCTAATGTGCCCAGCGAGCTGGTCCTCTGCCCAACAGAGCGGGGTGCAGATTTGTTCTACAGCAGCCACACCAGTGCCCAATTCAGATGTCACAGATCCTCCCCATTCCTGCCCAGTGTTTTTCTTCTTACCCTTCCTAAGCACTTTTGGGTTTTGGCTCCTTCTCCCTGCTTCCTAGTGTTGAGCTTCCCACTCAGTACCGCAGAGTATTCATTTGATGTTGCCTCAAGGGATGCAAGAGCTGTACCACAGCCAGATTGTTGGTGGTTGCTGGTGATAGGGGGTACATGGCAGCCTCCTGAGATAGGTACACAGCCAGTTTTTATCCATAGATCTCCTTAATCCCACAGATCTTGGTCTCAGGACAGTGTAATGTCCTAGTAAAGAATAATTTACTATGCATGCAACAAGCCGTATCCTTTTGCATGCTAAATCCTTATCATCATCATCCTGAGGAGGATGGCAAAAGACTACACATATAGCTGGAAGATATTCCTGTATGTCCAGAGGTTTCAGGAGCTCTACATCCATTAACACCAGCTGAAGCACCACACTTTGAAGCCCATTTTCGTGAGGTTGATCACTGTATTGTAAGTCATTGTATAAATACCTTTTAGAAAATTATTTTGTTATTCTCTTAATTACTTCATTTACTTGATCTATATCTACAGGCCTGTTTCAGTGACAGTGATGGAGGGGGCAAGCCCATATTCTCTCATAAATCTTCCTTCTTTTTTTTCTTCTATTTTGGTATATAGAGACAACTACTTTGTCTTAATAGCACTGCAAAAGATTATTTCAGTGGCCTGTAATACTTCATCATCTGATGGAAGAATACTTCACATGGAGGAAGACAAAATCCCCTTCTTCAAGTGTTTACAACCTGAGGCAACAGCATACAAAAACATGGTAGATGTAGTCATTGTAAGCACAAGCCCTTTACCTTTATGTATTTGCTAGAAATGCATGACAGCCATATGTGGTCTTCTGTCATTAACTGGCTATTGCAGTGCACAAAGTTGGGTGGTGTAAACACCTTTCTATGATTTAGCAAGCTATTTTAGACTATCATCCTGTTCAAACCGTCCCATTTCCGTAGTAAAGAATCTCAGAGTCTCATAGCAAGTCAATGCAAGTGAAAACATGAGCTTACACCTTCAGGCTAAATCTGACTGTTAGAAGGATTTCCCTGCAAAATCCCTCTTTCCCATTTCCTCCTGTTAACTCGCACTAGTGCCTGGTGAAATGCCTCAGTAAGAACCAGAGCAGCTCTGATAAAGTGGGCTGAGCCAGGGAAAGTAGACTCCAACCATCATTCCTTCACATGTATGTCAGCTTTTTCTTGTGGTACCGAGGGATTCCAGATCTTTAATTTGTGTCTTCTAATGCTAGGAAAAAAAAGAGGTTGCAAATCCCTGACCTGCTTATTCAAGTGGTTGGCAATTGCATTAAAGGGCTTTTTTTCTGGTAAGGCATGAATGACAGCCAGGCAATACAAAATCTCTTGTAATTCTCTGTGTGATCGGTACTCCTAGTTCTTCATTCAGAGAGTCTCTTTCATCCAGTGGCCAGTGGAAAAGCTCACAGGAGGAACATAATGTCTGTAAGCACCAAAGATTACCCAGTGCCTTGTATTTTGTCATCACAGAATGCTGATGTCTAAAGTATTAGGAGCTGAAAACTATTTATATGCTTTTGTCATTCTTACACATGACTTGTATGAGAATTTGGAGGAAATATGTGAATAGAGACACTGTAAAATACGTTGTCAGGCCTGAACCTGCCCATAAAATTTAGCTTGCAAAAACAGCCTTTCATCTTTCTGCCTTGGCAAGTCTCTTTTCAATGGGAGATGTGACAGATAAAAAAAGCTATGTGATTCTGGACAATATCAGTGTGAATGGCCAGTGAGAAAGGTCATCAGCCTGGTCCCATTTTAGCCTACTACTGCTTTAAAGAAGTGATTTTATCACGGGGTGTTAAAATAAGCAAGTGTAAAGCTGACTTTGAAATATATTTATGGTTCAAATATATTCATGGTCCAGGTTATTTTAGAACTGCATGTGTTAAAAACAAGCACCCATCATGGCGTGATGGTATGTGCCAAAGCTACAGTTAAATTATGTATCTGTACCAGTTGCATGCATCAGCGCACACACAAAATTCCACAATCTTTGGCCTGTCACTTGCAGAAGCTCACATAGTGCTAATATTCCATGCTTAGCAAGAGCTGTTTCATTTTCCAAGCAAAAGACTGCTGCCTGGTTATTACTATTAAAATATGCCATCTGATGATGATTTTGTACACCTTACATTTCTCTGCAATACAATTTCTGGCAAGGAAAACTTCATCTTCATATAAAAGCAGCTAGAAAACATCTTGGAGGTGTACTATTAAGTTATTGTCTTGCAAAGAGATTCCTTCCACAGCCTGTTGTAAGCAGTCCATTACAAAATTCACAGCACAGCTTGTAGAAAACACATGAAGATTGGTTCTCATGGATGGGCTGAATGCCTTCTCCACTCCAAATCTCTGTCAGTGTGATTACAGCAACTTCTTCCTTTTCATATGATTTCCAAATCTAAGGGACCTCTGATCTAGCTGTGTTTGACTTCATTAGCATCTTGAGGAAGAACCCATCCTGTGGAGGAAACCAGAGGCATCCAAAAAGTGTGTTCATTCCTTTTGTCATCCGTCAGACTCTCCTCCCTTCTACTTCTCAAGTGGTGGTAGAAGTCCATAACAATATGGCACATCCTTCGAATTCAAGATAGCACCTCAAGGCCCTGCGATTACAACAGTAACTGTTCAACGATGGGCTGACTGAAGTAGTTGTTAGCTAAGTCAGCAAATGGTTTCAACAGTCCTGTGGCAGAGAAAGTTCAGATCAGCAGAGGTAAGCACAAGGATACTGCTCAAGGCTTGGGAAGCTCTTGAGCCACACAGAGCAAGAAGCAAAGGAGCGTTTAGTCAGATTTCTCAATCCCCTCCCTGTGATGTTCTTCCCAGTACAGAGCACAGCGAGAGATGTGCCAGTGGTCCAGCCTGCTGTGGCCACTTTGATGTTCTTGTATAGAGAGAAGACAAAGCTCAATGTCTGGCTGAAATGCCAGTTCGCATGTGCTCAGGAGCATGTTGAGGGACTGTCTCTGCTTAAGGAGTCTATTGTGATTCTCTTCCTGATGGAGGTCAGCATGGGGCAAGTTGCATGTTTGACAAGCCTGGTAGAGTGAGGAGAAGGCAAGATGACAGGATGTGCACTGCATCCATAAGGATGCTACAGTGTTGAAGAGGAATCTTTAGCAATTAAAGTGAGAATTGGATGCGTGAGGGAAGCTTTGTGCCAGAGAGGTGAACGTGTCATCTATAATGGAACAAAGGCTGAGAGAGTCATCATCAGTGAGACGTGAAGCATAAAAAAAATGGCAAGACAAGTTTATGGCACAACCTGAGCTGCATAAAGATAAAACCCCTGAATTTCTCTGTACATAGTCCTTTCATTTCCCCTGATCTACAGGCACAAATTGTACTCCAAAATAGAAAGACAAAGAAACTCCCAGTAGAACTGAGTATTTTTTCCAGAGTCTTATAAGGAATATTTTGCTTTTGCCATACTAGTTCCACTCTGGCCCAGATATATAATGACCCAGAATTATAATCATCTTCTGGCCACTAGGTACCACTTGTGAAGTACCTGGAAAATGGCTGTATGTGTCACAGGAAACACAGCAAAAGATGGCATTTATTCCCCACTTCCCCAAGGTGGGCAGTTGAGAAACAAGGCAAAAATAGATGAGTCAGAGAAAGTTAATCACTCCACCACCTCAACAGAAAGCTGAGATGGACTTTTAGCCTTTCAGGTCTATTCATGTAGGTTCTTCCGGTGTCAGCCTCATACAGTGTAGTAAGCAGTGTGAGTAATACTGAGCATATGTTGTTTGCTCTCTCATCCTCTCCAGAGGAAGCAGCATATCCACCAGTGTGTCTTGTGCGATTGGCTTTTCTGCTGTCTTTTTAAATGGAAGCTCTGCTTTGCATTGATGCAACAGAAAGCAGCTCCAAAAGGTTCAGACCCTGAGCTTCAAGGGGAAGGTGGTGGAACTGGGACAGTGCTTCATTATTGCATGTGTTTATTGCCCAGCTTCTGAAGAATGAGAAAGTTCTGCCTGGGTTACACACAGGCTTTACTCTGACTGTAGTGTTATCATGCAGTGTCACCCTAACAGGGTTTCTCCAGCCAGCACTTTTTGGCAATCACTGTCTCTGCTATGAGACAGGAAAATTCAACCTCTTTGAGGAAATTAGCAAGCTAGCCCTCAGAAATATTGCTAGGGAGCTGGATGCACTTTCTGTGAGTTAGCTAGCAAGGCCCAGCCCCTTCTGCTGACGTCTTTCCTCTCTATCACACATCAGACTTTTCCCAGTGGAGCTGGAGAACAGGCTTCAATGAAAACTGCCTGTTTGCAGCTATATGGAGATTGCAGGCACCACAATCACTATTTCCTCTACCTGACCTGGAGCAGAAACTCCATCATTAGGATAGAAAGGTAGCCTTGTTGCCTAGCAAAGGTGGGATGATTTATCTCTGTCTCTAGATTGGTCCCTTTTTCACTGCTGCACAAGAGAATTGTTTTCAGACTTTCAAGGAGAATGAAGCCAGGATAGAAATCAAAGTGGATGTGAGAGAGCTGCTATCCCAGGGAGGAGAAGGAGTCACAGGGTTTCTGTGCTTTCTGTTCCTGTGCAGCCCAGGACAATGGTTTTATCTGCCCCAGTGATAGCCCTGGGGGCTACCTTAGGGACTGCAACTAGCATCCTTGCCCTCTGCGGTCTCACCTGCCTCTGCAAATGCAAGCAACCTGGGAAAGGACTCTCAGAAAAGGACCAAGAGGAGGACACGGAAAATACTAAGCCCAGTGTGCTTCAGCCAGTCCAGCAAGTAAGACACAGTCTCTGATTTACCTTTAAATGCAGAGGGTGGGGATGCAACTTTTCTGTTCGGCTTCTCAGCATGTGATTTCTGCTGCCTATTTATCTGCTTACTGTGTTCAGGATGTGGCAGCATGTTAATGGGAGGAGGAGTGAGGGGATAGCCGAGATGGGCTCAGTGACCCATGGAATTACTGGAGCAGGAGACAGCTGCCACATTGCCAAAGAGAGAGCTGCTAACGGGAAAAATAGGGGAGGAGGACTGGAAATGCTGCTTAGATCACAAAGGAAATGATTTTCTAAGGAAAGACTGGACTTTACCATGTGCATGCAGCGTTGTCAAGAGGAGATGACTCCTGCTGGGGTCTCCTATAGCAGCTATTTCTCTAACTCTATCCACAGTATCTTATGGGTCCTGCAGGATAGCTCCCTGTCAACAGCTGGTTTCTTGTGAAAACCATCCCTCCTCCTCCCTCTGCCCCTCTGACTGAGGGGATTAATTATGTGTGAAGTTAAAATGAGGCACTGTAATGATAATAAAATGTGACAATCTGTAGTGCAGTGACTGGACAACCTCATCACACTGTGAATTGCTTTTTCATTTACTCTAACAGCAATGTGGAGTATGGATGACATCCAGCATGCCTGTGTGGTCTTTGTTGCTTGTCAGAATCCAAAACCCCTGATTTACCCCTGACCTCAGTACAACAGAGAGCAAGGGGAATTATATGACCCTGCTAATACATTTATTAATGGGAAGCTCTCCTTCAAAAGGAAATATTTGACTGATTTCCTTCATTAATTATGGTCTTTAGCACGAGCTATCGCGCTGATCAGTCTCTGAAAGTACTACCTGTTGCTCGATGTTTGTATGTGCCTACATCCTTTTCACTTTCATCTAGCCATTCAAGCAAATGTTAGCCACTTCCAAAGACCAGTGACCCGTTGTATAACAGTCTTTGTTTGCCTTCTAATTAACTAAGCTGCCTGTTATTTTCGTATTCTTAAAGAGGGTAGCAGGAGTCCTAATTGAACTCTGTAATGTTTGTAATTACATATTCAGCTCTCTTTGGCTACCGCTCTCAGGCTCTTACTAGAAAAGAGCCCTGGCATCCTCCTGTTTCTGTTGCAGTTTGCTCAGAGAAAAGATGACCAGATCTACTAATTGTACTGCAAGATCTGGTGCAGACACACAGAATCATGTTCCCAGAGCTTTTGGTTGCTTAGGGGAGGGAGGATTGCTCCACTGACCATGGATGAACATCTGTACTGGGCTTAGGACTTCTCAAGGGGTTGCTGCTAATTCAGAGCATTCACCTATGAGCACAGTGAATATGTCCAAGGACCTGTTTCTATTTTCCTAGGATGAATTTCACCTGCTATCGTGTCTGATAGTTTTGTCATGTCCTTTTCTTGTCTTTTCTGACCCATACAGGGGATTTGCCAAGTCTCGTATATACGGATGTACAGTAATGTTGAGATTTTCCTAGTTTACTGTTAAAATGAATGAGAACTGTGTAACTTGGACAGCCATATCACTTAGCATAGCATTTTATCTAGCTGTTGTCTGGAACAATGCTAACCACAGATAACTTTACCATCAGTCTCTTTCTACAAGAGAGCTTTTGTCGTTGTAATCTTCTAGCTCAGAAACCACTCAAATCATTACCTTAACTCCACGACCCTTGGACTGGTCATTTTCCTTTTATACAACCTTTTGGACTGTATCTTGTGAAAACGTTAATCCATCCTGGAGTTTGTCCTGCAGGGTGTCATCCTGCTTGCACGACTGAAATAAGCACTAAGTCACTGTGAAGTCCAACCAAGCTTTCATACCCAGCAGCTATCAGCTTATGGTCCTCGCAACGTTTCTGCACTCATCATGTTTCTCCATAGCTTAATCCAGTACTTGACCAACAGGGGTCGAATTATTCAACCTGGCCTCCATGTATGACTGTTACCTGAGTGATTGTACTCCTTTAGCACTGTAGACTTTCTAATTACAAGTATTATTTCTAATGATGTTACTGGGTTTGATTTTAGCCTTTTTCCTTTTAAAGAAATCAGGACAAATTCTAGCAGCCGAATGAACATTCTGTCACAGAAAGTGCAAAATGTTCTTAGTTTACATGTTCAGTATGTTTAAACATGGGGTTTTTTTTTGTCAGTTAAAATAGTTTTCTTGCCAGGAACATGCATTCCCTTTGTTGTCAGTGATTCAGAATCAGTCTATACCTTGATGGCGTTAATCTCAGATTGAGTTCCGAGCTTGTGAAGTTTTATCATCTGTGTCTACGTTTATAAATTGTTCTGTTGGGACTATTTCCCTTCTGCATTAATATCCTGTATGTCCTAGCCAGTGCTTGACATAATTATTGAAGCCTGTCAGGGCCACTGATTCTGATAAACAGGGTTGACAAAAGAGAGACAAAGCAAGACTGCATTTTATTCACTTGGCATGTCTCCCATGACAGCAATGCTTGTATTTGCTATAGACAGAGGCTCCCCAGGGACATGCCCTGCATATGTGAGGAGGAAAAGCTCAAACGCAAAGATATATCTACAGAAACATTAAAACTGCTGGAAATATGCAAAGTCTCAGCAAAATGTGCAGATGAGGATTCCTAAACACATCCAGCAATTTGGTGCATTGCTTGAGGGACATTGGGCAGGGACCCTGAAGGGTCATTTGCAGCCTTCTTGCTACTTTTGGTTCCTTTGCTTTCATGCATTTTACGCAGAACTATCTGAACTCTTCTGTTCATCTCTTTCTTTTAAGATGCTGCTGCTGATTTGGAGCTTTCATAGGGCATTGCTATGTAACTGGATTAGCAGACAGCACTTGGGAACAGAGCTGGCAGCAAAAATAATAAACAGAGGCAGATGCAATTGGAAGAGGGGGTGGGTTAGTCCCACTGTGCTTGCATATGTCTCTCATCTCTAATTCTGCAGAGCAGACAGACAAGAGGAATACTGAGACCCAGTGGAGCTCTTACTTGCTGTATGGATGTATGCTGATGGATTTCCTGACTAAATGTCTGGCTTTTAGCAAGTGGAAGAAAAGATTGTACTGACAATACCTCACATTTGTACGGTGTTTCTTCATCCCAAAGGATCCCAAAGTGCCAGGCATAATGCTCAGGTGTGATAGTCAGTGATTCGTCAGTGATTGGCAGGACAGCAGCCCTATACAGCAGCTTCAGGAGAGAAAGAACAGCGGATGCTGAGCACCATGGCAGGCACTATGTGTGTGTTAGAAGTAATGCCTTTGCAGAACAAAAGTGCCTGGTTTTTCATGCTGTTGTCTAGTGGTTCCTAACCTATTTTGCTTGGTTGGTCCGCTTTAATTGCAGAAAAATGGAGAACTGTGTTTAAGGTTTGGATGAGTAACTTCAAGTTGCCTAAATATTTTATGACTGATGTGGCTCACATGTCTAAAAGAGGGATCTCACTCACAGACCTGCAGCATGTGATTTACACAACATCTAAACTCAGCTGAATGCTAGGTGGGGACTGCACACAGTGACGTCTTTCTTTCTCAGCCCACTTCTCTGTCAGAGCCCTTCAAATTAAACAAGACAAAACGCTGTGCTACACAGCGGACTTCTTAAACACTCATGCACCTTGAGAACATGGAGTCAGTGACCTAAATAGCTCTTTACCACTGCCAAGTGCATGTAACCATGGTGCTATGAGCTCCATAAGCAGAGTATGACTAAAGAGCTAAAATCCAAGACAGCTCCCTTTCTTCAGCTCTGTTTCTTGAGGGATAGGTATGCTCCCTCAGGACATGTGAACTGGGAGCACACCATCCCAACACAGGCAAGTGCTTGAGGGCATCATTTATATTCATTATTAATAGGAAACAGTGACATTAATGAAAAACTTTAATTACAATTGCAAACATTTTCTGGCTCACCCTCAATCTATATTTAACACAGAATGGGTTGGCAGGCGGCAGGGTTGGAGGCGATCCCACTGCACAATAATCCAGCAAAATGGCAGGTTTACTTCTGCTTTTTGTCTTTTGTGTTTTGGAAACATTAATAAAATCTGGTGCAAGGGTCATTTGCTTTTGTTCTTTCATGTAGATGAATCCAAATATAAATGAATAAGGAATGATTTCAGTAGTCAGCAGACAGGATCCTTTCTTGGGACATAAGGAAAGAGGAACTGCTATATTCCACTAATGTATTTTTCATTGTTTTGGGGGAACAGCCATGCCTTTGTGACTTTGCTTGGGCTGCCTGGGCATGACACTGCCTGTCAGATCCTTCCTCTCATTCCATGTTCACAATTCAGCAGGGAATTGAAACGTTAGGAACAAACTGGAATCCAAATTTCAATCCTGGTGTAATAAAGGGGAAATGTGTGCCCCTGGGTCAGGCAGAGCTCTGGTCCACAGAGCCAAGAAATAGTCCGAGAGGCTGAATTGGAAACAAATACCATACATCTATACAGAAAAATTAACTTCATGGCTGGTTTTGCTTCTAAGAGAAAACACAGACTTATGAGAGAAGGATTTACTGGTACGGGAACAGAGGAATAATCAAACATTAAGAACATACCTTTTTCTTGTTGCAACCAAACATCTACAGAGGGGTAAATCTGGAAAGACATACACCAGGTACAAGGGTATTGGCTTTGGCAAGAATATCCCTGGGCATACAGACAATGGTTCTTACACCCCAAGAAACAATGATGGTAAGAATGACTAGAGGCATCATCTTTTCTTCCTTGTTCTTAGCTTGGTTAGCATTGAGGGAATCAGAAGAATTAGCGTAATCAGCACAAAAGTAATAAACAAGGTTTTAATTTTCAGTTCAACGTTAAGAAAACGGCAGAGCCAGTCCAGCCTCGAGCACTCCTGAAGTTTCCCAACATTTATGGCCCCAAACCCATAGTAACTTCACCTGAAATTGTTAACTACACGCAGTACTCCCTGAAGACAACAGAAGAGCCAGCTACTGGAAAACACGCTGATTTGGATGAGAACAGGATGAAGATCCAAGTCAATGAAGAGCTGTTTGTTCTCCCTCAAAACGGTAGGAGCATTTGGTCTTCATGCTAACAATTGCTTTTCTTAGTGTAGATCTGTAACGCTTCTGAGCATAGTGTGATTGCAGTTAGGGAAGTAAATGGGAAAACAAAGACATGGGTGCTTTTTGCTTTCTTGTAATGAACATAGTGAGTTCTGTCTTCAATGCATGTGTTTAGTAGTTAGTAGTCATGTAGATCATGACAGTCCGTTGACAAAGCTGTAGTTGTGTCTGGTTCTGAATTGGTTTCACTTAAACATCTTTTGTTCACTGGAAGCAGACATTTTGCACAAAAGCACGTTTTGGTGTAGTTTTACTGAGACCATTTGCCAGAATATAGGTGAGGTATCTGGCCAAAACTAGGCAGAGTAGCTCCTCCAGGACAAATGCCAACTGTCCCTACCAAGGATATTGGCAGCAGAGGTTTAAGCTTCTACTTTATTTTCTCTGCTCTTATTTTCCCCACTGGTTTGGTAAGATACCCTTGGCTTTAATGACCACTGAAACCAAAGGCTGACACCTCAGGTTCTTTTGCCAAACAGAATTCTTGTTTCCAGCCAGCCCAAAGGGTAACATGCCAAAGCCTGGAACATAAGATTCCTGGGGTCTTAGAGAAAATGCAGTGTTAATTATGTACTTCTGGCAGCATGTCTGGGTTGCTTCCATACTGATCTTTACATCCACAACTGTCTTTTAACAGAATAATTGACTCTTATGGTTACTGAATTAATACAATCTTCCTGATGATTTGCCAGGGACACGGTGCCATCTGCCATGGCTTTATAAAAGAGTTTAGGTTTTTGGAATTGTTTGAGGTCATATTTCTGTCCTTCTGGGAGGATGATTCCTACATTATCCCCTCCACCCTGACACTTGTGAATATGGAAAAGTACGAACCATTGGAAGCAGCTGCATTGGAGGAAGAGGCTGTCTGAGCCACATCCTTGGGTGTCAGGGAGAAGATTATAGGGTGGAGAGGCTGAAGGAGGATGGCTGCATGTGGGCTAAAGCTTTATGTAAGTGTGTTGGTGTAAGAGCCTCCCTGCACTGCTAATGACATAAGCAAGTTTGCTTCCTGCTGCGCCTGATTTCGTAGCTCAAGTGTTGCTGAAATAAAGCACAAATTGTTGCGTTCTTATTTTGGTGTCACATTGAACTGATCTGGACTGTGGCTGGCTGAGATTTTTAGGAGGAAATGTGCTAGTCCCACTATTATTTTCTGTGTGAATCAGAACTGACCTTGCAGATAACAGCTTTTGATGACAAAAAAGCTGTGGCTTCCCTTTTAGTCTTGCAGTTTGATTCGTTTCAATATAAAATATGTACTCGACTTCAAAATCATATATGGAGCAATGGCCTCAGCTTCCCAAGCTCATTAACTTCCACCTGGTCAAGAGTTATGGGAATAGATGCCTTCTACATGGCAAAGACTATATTGTTAAAATGAAAAATAAAAAGATTTAGAGAGATCTGAACTAAAGCACAGCAGCTCAAAAGCAGGTTCATGTTCTCATTCAGGGGAACACAATATTCAATTCCCCAATGCAAGTTAAAACCAATATAAACCAATATAACAAGTAATGAGTGTAGTTTTGGCACCTTGGCTTAGGCACAAGGTAAAAGAGCAAGTGTGTGAACCATCTTAGAGCACAAAGTGGTGGAGAGCAGAAGCCTTGTCCAAGTGCTATAGAAAGAGCTGAAAGGGTGAGAAAACGGTGCAAAAAGCAGATATGATGGAGGAAGAAGGAACAGAAATGACATTCCTGCACACAAGGAGCAGGAATAGCAAGACGCTTAGAAAAGCCAAGTCAAGACAGGGTGGATTTGTGCTCCTTGGAAGGTAAAGACCTGCTTGCTAAAGGCGTTATTTCAGTTGCAGGTGTAGTAAAGGATGTGTGTGTCACGGAGCACTTGAACCCCGAGAGGGCAGCCAGCTGTAACCAGGCCCCTGAGCTGCGCTACTCCCTGCTGTATGATCAAGAAAGAGCTGAGCTGCGTGTGGCCCTTCTGGAAGGTAAGGGGCAGAGGTCTTCCACCGGTCGGTCATTCTCCATCTGGAGAGTACAAGACACCTTGTACCATTGATTTTATAGAGAGTTCCCCTCCTACCTTAAAACCAATAAATGTCCCCAGGACCACTGGCTATTTCACTGGTTCTGTTCTTGCAGAATAGGAATACCTGGGGATGGCAGTGATTGAAGTGAGCATGGAAACATGGAATAGTTTGGGTTGGAGGAGACCTTCAAAGATCATCTGGTCCAACCCTGTCGCAATGAGCAGGGACATCTTCAACTAGATCAGGTTGCCCAGAACCACATCCAGCCTGGTCTGGAATGTCCCCAGGGATGGAGAACAATAGTTTGCAGAGCTCAAAAGCAGAAGTCAGGCACCAAGATGGGCCTCTCCTTCCTCAGGGTACAAAGCAACCTCTTCTTTCTATTTTTTCTTTTGGGGCAATGGGAACAGGGTTGCTGTCTCCTTCCTCTCTATAACTTGCATTCTTCAATTGACCCACTCCTTACTGCCTCTTCCTCCAGTCAAGGTCTGAGCTGGAGACACCAAACTTATCTTGTAGTCCACTGAGGAAGGTCCCTCTGCTGCGCCTGGCCAGGCAGCCAGGCTCTGTGTCACTCTCTGAAGTGGGAACTGACAACTGTAACGGCTTCTCCGCTCAGGGCTGGAGCATCATCAGTTCCTCTGGGAAAGCAAAATAAGCTGAGTGAATAATTCATGCACTGTGCAGATCTCTGTGGAAACCTCATCAAATCACACCCTCTGAGCCGAGAATCGGAAGGGTGCTAAACGGCAGCCACTGCTGTGAGTTGCCTGCCAGCAGCAAGCCCTCAGCTCCCTTCCAGGGAGGACACCATGACTATTGGCTGCCACCATGGATCTCCTGCATGTGTGGTGCAAGAGAACCTGCACCTTCTCTTCCTCCTCATCACTTAGAGCCCCTTTGTCACCCAGCAGGATCCAGCTCTGCTCCCCAAGAAACCAGTAGACCCCACAGACTATGGGACATGGGAGCTCATGAGGAGCTGTCTGTTCTCACTCCAGGCTTTTCAACATAAAAGGGATATAAAACTAGGGATAAACGTCTCTTGACAAAGATCTCTGGGGCTGTGGGATGGTTTCTGAAGGACTCATTTACCAGAGGTTGTACAAGCAAACTGTAATAACCCTTAGATATATCCCCCACTGGCCTGCAGGGGTGGATGTGTGCCAAGAGCGAGGTGTCTCCTGTCTCTGATGTCTGTGACTGACCATAATGCTTTTTGAAGCCTACATAAGAGGCTTTCTTTGTGTAAAAGTAAATGGGAGCTGCCAGTCCCTGTGCCATGCTGAGGCTCAGCTCATTGCTGCTCTGCATCTTTCAACAGAGCATGTTTCCTTGAACTTAGCTGTTACTCTCCCAAGCACTAACAGCATCCTTTTGCAGCAGCAGAAGGACAAGGACATTGTGCAGCGTGAGCAAAACACCACAGCATGGGCTCACAGCTTAGTCTGCCCCGTACAAGCAGGAACAGGGGTCAATGTCTGTGAAGCTGCTCTATTTTATGGCTCTCATAAATGAGCAGTTTAGTCACAGATATTTTAGGGCTGCCTTTTGTGAGAGGTCCTTAAAATCAATCATTCTCTTCCAGCTATGCATGGCAGAATGAGTGGGGACCAAGATGCTGGCTGCCATTGCTACGTACTGGGTACGCTGGTGAGCAAATCTGGCACTGCTGAAGCCCAAACAGAGCTGAAGAAGAAGGTGCTTCACACCCTCTGGGAGGAGGTCCTGCGATTCCCATTAACAGAGGAGGAGATGCCGGAGGGGACATTGACTCTCACCCTGAGAAACTGCGACAAGTTCTCCAGACACAGCATTGTGGGGGAACTCAAACTGAGCCTTGCTAACGTGGAGGAGTCCTTTGGGACAGCCCAATGGGAAAGGCTAAAGATCCCAGAGAAGGTAAGGACCCGGGGACTCTAATGATTTTGGTTTGGGCAAGAGAAGGCCTCTTCCATGTCAGTGGGTGGCTGTATTTGCCTGGAGCAAGGTTTAGAGGGGTGATGTGTGACTGCAGATATCACTCTGCACTGCTCTGTGCTGGTCTCTAGCTAAAACCATTCCAGAAAACAACCAAAGGCCCATCAACCAGCCCTTCCATCTACAGCTTCTGGCAGTTAAGATGTGTCAGAACTCCCTCGCCTCCTCCTTCAATTACACGACCCTTGACATTGGTATCTCTAATTTAAAGCCTGCGTCTAGAAGTTATATGGGCTTCTGTGATTTAGTGATGCTGGACCATAGTAGCAAGAGCTGGAACACCAGAATGAGTGCTTACAGAGCAGGATGGAGGGACTCTGCAGAGCTGGATGTGGGTGAGGCATATAGGGACACCTCAGGGAGCCTTAAGCTAGGAATGAAGTACATTGTTGGGACCGAAATGCTGGCCTGAAGACAACTTATCCTTCTGGGATCAATCCAGTGCTGTATGTTCTGGTAGATGTCAAAACATCACTCATTGCATTGTGTTGGTCTAAAACATTAAACCCTCCTTTTCCTTCCTTATCCAGCTGCACAGGCAGGGAAAATGGAGAGAAGATTACACCAGTACTTGAAGTAGATACAGGGGATGCTTCACATGCACTAACTTCTTGCACATCTCCTCAGGAGCCTTTTCCTTGCCATGATCTAGATTCTTCTTTTAGCAGCAGCAATACACTTAACAACATGCTGCTATTGTTGCTACTAGTACATTGCTACAAGTGGGTACCTATTGTACTCTGGTATATGGGGTGAGCAATGCAAAACAACAGCATCGCTGTCGCTACTCATGCTGAAATAAATGATTGCCTATCACCATCGGGGGTGAGGGCTCTCCACTGGGATGGCCACAGGCACCGAGTACAGAGTTAGAATGTCTGATTTCCTATAATGCTCATTTACCTGATCACCACTTGAATGCTAACAGTGCTGGCCTTTAAAAACCCTCTGGCAGAGAGAGAGGCAGCAGAAACAAATGTGAGGTTTAATAAGCTTCAAGAACCAGGCTAAATAGCTGCATATTAATAATGAGCAGCCTAACAGCTGTAAATTGAACTCAGTTCCCAATCCACTGCTGCAAAAAGAGGTGTCCGAAAGAAATTATTCCAATGATTTAAATTCCTAAACTGAGATAGATGGAGCCTCCCCCTCATCTACTGCAATCTCTGCTTTGTAAGCAATACCCAAGGAACAGCCTGTGCACAGCAATGGTCAGTTGTCACTCAAGGGCACCCGATGGAGTCCTGACACGCTGGGAATTCTGCCTTGGTCCAGCTCCACAACTCTGCAAAGGAACAGGGCAGCATTCATTTCTTCTCCAGGCTGACAGCACAAGGTTAACACTCACAGCATTGCTGAGCAGTGCCCCAGTTTGAGCTGAGGATGTGCAGTGAAAGCTGAATTTGCGTCATCTGGGACCTGAGAGAGCCAACCATTGCACAGAGAGCTTATATACAGATCCTGAATCAGTCATTGAGAACCAGAGCGGGAGGGAGTGAGGAGGAGCTGATAAAAAAGAGGAGCTATTTTTGACAACATCCATCCAGGAACAAAGTTTCTGGGCTTTAAACAAAGTCTGACATTTCCTTGAGATGCCATGAGAGGCAGAAATCTCATCCCTGCCTTCCCAGTGATTCTCCCACACACAAGGGAAGGAGCTCAGAGCTAAGCAGGTAGTGCAATTCGCATTCAGGAATTCAGTGAGTTTTGTGAGCAATGCAAACACAGATCCTGCGGGCTGATATCCTTATCTTGTCTTCCTTCCCTCCCACTGCCTTGCTAATGACAGTGATGATAGTGGCTCCTCGAATAGCACCTTCCCCTTTGTGATGCACACGTAATTCATTGATAACTCCCTGATGCTTTCAGTCCTGTTGTACAGAAGGGAAGACTGAAAGCCTCTGGTGGTTGTGTGAATTGTAGCACAAAAGGCAGGTTATGGATTTAACAGGAAAAAGGGAAATACAGAAAACAGATCCCAGAAGGAGTGGGAAGGAAAACTACCTTTGTCTTGGTCTCTTCATACAAAACTCCAGCAGACACCAACCCACTGTAGGTTTTGCGTTCATGTGGATACAGACTGGTCAAAAACTTGATGAGAATAGTAGGAGCTTGCGAGCCATAAGCACCAGATGTGGTATGTGTGTACAATGTGTGTGTCTGTGTGTACGTGCATGAGTGTGTGTGCACGTTTACAGAGCCCTGCCGACCCCTATCTCCAATCTCCACGTTATCTATGCGCGCCTGGAGCTACAGGAACCAAATTCTAGCCAAGAGCTATAGTGTGAGACCCGGTAGAGGGAGTAAATAAACAAAAGCAGCTTATGACCTGGCTTGACTATGGTTGCGTACTGAGGTGGTATTTGTATTTGTCCATTCATGTACAAACACCCATTCTTTCATAGTGAGTATGCATCTATTTGAATCTGCCTCTGTTTGGTTCTGTGTTGTGGGGGTTTTTAGCATCTACTTAGATGTAGGGCAGGATTTATGCGAGTGAAATGCACACGAGCCCTTTGTTTCTACCTGAGCTCTTGAGAAGGAGATTTACTGGGGTTGAATTGGGATTGGATTTCAGGCTTCCTTGCTAATGGCCTCCCCCCTGATTTGTGCATGACAAATCAGTCATTCAAACCAGACAGCGATGACAACCGTGTTTGCTGCAGAGTCAGTCAGCTCCTGGGGAGCACACAGGGGCCTGCCCCTGCCTGTTGTGAGTAACCGGGTGAGAACTCAACCTGAAATATTTATGGCTCACTTAGAAGCATAGCGCAGAGCACAGAAATGGCCTGGAGAAGGGCTGCCTGTCCTGAAGCGTGTAGATCATGCTAAGGAGTCCAAAGGGAGTCTATTGAATTGACATTGGCTTTCTGGGGCTCTTCTGGGTCATTAACCTCACACTAAAGCAGATTTCTGTCACAAGCTCCTACTCACTGAGAGAATTACTGCTCCCCTTTTGCTCCTTGCCACAGGCTGGCAGCTCTGCAAGTACCAGCATGGGCTTTCCTGGCTTCCCTTGCTTCCCAGCCAGCTCCCGAGGAGGAAATGGCACTGTTCTCCCAGGGAAGAGTGATGGGTGATGTGGTCCCTCTGCTTCCCCCCTCCGGGGGTGCTTGCCCAAGGCAAGGGGGAAGGATAGGTCAGGAGGCTAAGAGGCCAATCACTAATGGGAAGAAAGGAATAAAAGAGAAGAAAAGGAAAGAAAAACAAAAGTGTGCCCTGCTGAATGAGGACCGATGGTTCCAAGCCTTTGTCCTGGAGGAAATCCCGCAGGGCAGCAGGGAGAGATGCCCACAAGCTGGAGGGAAGACTGCTGGAAAGGAAGAGGAGATAAAGCACTGTGGAGCTCATGAACGATTTCAGGATGGGTGGGCTTTTTACTATATCAAGTGAGGGTGTCAGAGAAGATTCAGCTCCAGCTCCAGCTCCAGGGTCTGGCTGTGGCACAGCCCTAGGTATCTCCTACTCTTTCCTAGGGAGACCTACACTCCTGCTAGGCATTGTGGACCACGGTCCATGTGAGGTCAAGGCCTTCTGAGAAAATGAATCATAGAATCATAGAATGGTTTGTGTTGGAAGGGACCTTAAAATTCATCCAGTTCCAAATCCCTGCCATGGGCAGGGACACCTTCCACTAGAGCAGGTTGCTCCAAGCCCCATCCAACCTGGCCTTGAACACTGCCAGGGATGGGGCAGCCACAGCTCCTCTGGACAGCAAGCTTCTCATGTCTCACCACCCCCATAGTAAAGATATTTTCCTAGTATCTAATATAAATCCACAGTAGCAGCTGAAATGAAGAGTGAATGATGAAAAGCAGTAATGGAAGTAGGGGATGTAAATAAAGAGCAGCTAGATAATCTCAAAAAATGAGTATCTGACTACTTGCATGTAGTTCAGCCCCAAATCCTCTTCTTCTGATTAAATATTCCACTAAAAGTAGATGTAAGGAAGCTGCTTCTTTCCAATGACAAAAGAAAGCATAACTCACAAAAGAAAACAGTAACTTAAGTGTGGAGGACAGACATCTTTGTCAAGTTTATTCTCATCCAATGTAACTGGAAAGATATCCCCTGTACAAAGACACGGGGACAACTTGGTCGGTTCATCACCTCATACTATTTAGCTCTCCTAAATAGTACTCTAGTATTTCACGTTATGGCCATGACTGTATATAAAAGAAACCCTTCCTGCATTTCTGTTTCCAGGAGCCATCTACGGGCCATGGGGAGGTCCTGCTCTCCATCAGCTACCTGCCAGCAGCGAACCGCCTGCTGGTGGTGATCATCAAGGCTAAAAACCTCCATTCCAAGCAGCTGAAAGATCTACTTGGCAATGGTGAGTAGAACAGCAAGAAAACAGAGACTGTTGTTTCTGCTGTTATGTAAATCTAGAAGGAAAGTGGGAAGTGTGGTTGTTTGGCAGAAAAAAAGTAAATGTTTGTCTTAGAAAGCCAAAGAGATTTGAATAATTGCTAAAAAGTGAAAACCAAAACCAAGATCAATGTTTCTCATGTTCTCTCTCTCAGTCACCAGTTAGTTAGAATTCTCTTGCATTCATTTTGTCTCATGCTCATTAACATGGTGCCTCTTTCCACTCCCTATACAGATGTTTCTGTCAAGGTGACACTGAGGCATCAGTCCTTGAAGCTGAAGAAGAAGCAGACCAAACGCGCAAAGCACAAGATCAACCCTGTGTGGAACGAGATGATCATGTTCGAGGTGCCTCAAGAGCTCCTGCGTGCCTCCAGTGTGGAGCTGGAAATGCTGAGCCAGGTCGGTGCTGGGCAGAGCCACGTGCTTGGCAAGTGCAGCCTGGGCTTACATGCCACGGGCACGGAGAGGAGCCATTGGGAAGAAATGCTGAGGAACCCCAGGAGACAGATCGCCATGTGGCACCAGCTCCACATGTAGGCTCCTGGTGATTCCTGCCTCTGAGCCTGGGCGAATAAGCTGCATTTCACCTTCCCTCCACAAAGCTTACCAGCACAGCATCCTTCTTATACCCCCTTGTCTGATTTTCCTGCCTCATCCTAGCCAGGGAGACTGCCTGGAAAATGTATTTAAAGGACAACGTCTCATCTGATCAAGTGGTTCTCTCAAACAAGGGGGTTGGCTGCCTGGATGATTTGAATTAATTCCCACTGTCATCTGTGTGAGGTCCTTGTTTCTGTAGAGGAGTAAAGGTATCATGGAAATGTGAGATCATCCTTGGCATCTGGCTCTGTCACTCAAGTCCTTGATGAGCGCTGGCTCCATAATCACAAACACGTGGCGGATGTTTTACCAGTCATTGTTTTCCGTAATACTTTATAAGACTGTGAGAAATGCCGATCACAGAAGTGACTTTCACTGCAGACATGAAGTATCAATATGAAAGAGAGTGAAGAAGATGTGCAATAAATGGGTATCTAGAACTAAGAGAGAAAACAGAGGAAGAAGAGAGTGAGACAGTCAACACTATCATCCTATGTAGCCTTTGAAGCAAACACTGCCAAACAAGAAGTCAAATACCTTCATGTACTTTTGTTTCCTGGAGTGTTTGATATTTAGGATTCATGAAAACCACTGAAAATGTGAATGTTTCAGGATCCTTCAGCACAATACCTACATCTTCTATCTTTCCACACTGTCACGCAGGAAGACCCTAAACACAGACAAGAAGTCACCTCCAAAAACCTGGACCAAATCTTTCTGCTTACTGCCATGTTTTCTGCTTGGTTTTTTTTCTGAGCTAGGAAGTTTCAAATACTTTTATTCCAGGCAACATTTAAGACGAGGGAAGAGAAATGAGATCATTTCATACCTTAGCAGTGGATTGACGGTTTTGGTTTGACAGTTAACTATTGCACCCAAATCCTCATACCAGCCTTACTCAAAACCAAACCTTAAGAACTGCCATGTATTTCATCACTTCCAGACAGAAGGAATTCACTGACCAGACAGACTCCCCAAGGCTTGTTTTTTTGTGTGTGCACATTCAAGACTTGATGTAGCTTAAATGTTACTGTTTACTGTCCTTTCGTGTCTCGATGGGCTGAAAGTCTGGCGTTGGCAGTGATGATGTTATGACCCCATAAGCACACTGCTTGTCCTACCGCTTCATTTAAAGGAGTAGACAACAGCTTTAAAGGACTTCAACTGGGACAAGGCACTCAACAGTCTGAAAACAGAGCCATGTAGTTTGTAGCGCTGAAAAACTCCGAGAACTTCATATTTGCAGGGTCAACTTGATCCTCTGTTAAATTCAGAATATAAGCTAAGCTTTATCTAGTATCCATCCCATTTTGATGGCTTAGTCAAACAAGTCTAGCAGATGCTGCTATCCTGTTGGCAAACACCAAAACCAGTGTCTGAAAATGGACTGAAGTGACAGCAGTTACAAACAGGGCAAGGAAGCTCAGCTGGAAGCCAGTCACTAAGCGGTGACTGGAGCTGGTAGTGGGGATGGCACTGCTTAGCATCTTCTTAAATGACCTGGACAACAGGGCTGAGTATGCCCTCAACAAGTTTGCAGATGGTGCAACGCTGAGAGTAGTGGTTCATACACCAGGCAGTTGTGCTGCCATTCAGAGGCATGTGGAGAGGCTGGAGAAATGGTCTGACAGGACCTTCCTGAAGTTCAACAAGAAGAGCTAAGTCCTGCACCTGCAGAAGAACAACCCCATGCACCAGTGCAGGGCTGGAGCTGACCATCTGGAAAGCAGCTTCCTAGGAAAGGACCTGAGCATTCTGTTGAACGTGACCCAGCAATGCGCTCTTGCAGCAAAGAAGGTCAATAGTGTCTTGGTCTGCAACAGGAAAAGCATTGTGAGCAGGTCAAAGGGGTGATCCTCCCTACTCAGCTCTGGTGAGGGCACATCTGGAGTGCTGCATCTACTTCAGAGCTCCCCGGTGCAAGAAAGATATGGACTTACTGGAGAGAGTGCAGCAAATGGCCATGAAGATGATGAAGGGACTGGAGCACCTTCTGCATGAGGAGAGTTTGAGAGAGCTGGGTCTGTTCAGCCTGGTCAAAAGAAACATCGGGGGGAGCTTAGCAATATGTATAAATACCTGATCTAGGAGAAGACTCTTCAGTGCTGTCCAGTAACAGGACAAGAGGCAAGGGCACAAATTGCAATAAAGGAAATTCCATTTGAACACTTGATAAAAACAAAGAAAAATTATTCTGAGGATGGCCAAACACTGGAACAAGTTGTCAAGAGAGGATGTTGTGAGTTTCCATCCTTGGAAACAAAACTTGATGGGATACAACACTGAACCACCAGATCTAGTTTACCCCTCTGGGTTTGGACAAGATGATCTCCAGAGGTGTTTTCCATCCTCGGCGATGCTGTGGCTCTGTGAAGAGACTGACAAGGTTGATGCACACTGAAAAGTCTGTTACCCTCTATAGGTAAAACTGCTCTTCCCTTTAAAGCTGGTGTAGCCAGGAGTTAAAGGATCATTTTAGAGAGTGATAGAAACAGCTCTGATCAACCAACCAAACAGAAAAGCTAAGTACGCCAATGGAGCTTAGAGCTAAAGTTTCAATCTCTGATATTGCTCCACTGGCTAGAGGGGATTTAAACAAGAAATAATTGACTTCTTGTTTTGCTCTGTGGGGCTTTGTTTATTAACTGAAAGCTGTAGGATGCTGCGAACAAAGTAGACACAGGGTTTCAGGCTGACAGTGAATTCTTAATAGCTGCTCTGTTCATAGGTGCCTGCAGATACAGATTTGGAATCGTTATTTCCTTGAAGTGCAAAAGTCATTGTAATGTTGGCCTACTCCACAAAGAGGCTCCTGGCAGCACTGTGATTCTCCCTTCTATTTAGGATAACGATAAGGATAATCCCCCGGTACGAACCTATTTGGCTGGCACCGGAAAGCCTAAAGGGCGAAATATTTGCCTTGCTGCCAAGAGATTTCTTTAGTTCTGTCTCCTGCTTATTTTAATGAACCCTTTATAACATCTTGGTGACTGATGGTAAACAGCATTATCTGCCCCTAGAGATTTTGGCACACCCTGTAATTAGACAGCAATCCTATGGCATTCTAAAGGCACAGCCCCTCACATAATCTCATAATGTCCCTTTTACGTGTCTACACACTGCTTAACTACAAATCTGTTTTAGGAGCAAAGTGGTGCCATCACTGTTAACAAACGGTGGTGTTGCCTCACTTTGCTGCAACGGGATTTAAATAGGAAAAAAGGAAGAGGGAAAGCGCATGCATCTTTCCCAGCTGGATCATCTCTGTTGTCTGGCATTTTATCCTGGAAGGAATGTTTCTCCCATTCAGCTCAACCTGAACAAAACCTGACGGGTGCTTGTTTAATGAGGCAGCATTTGATGTGCTGGGGCTGGAAGCGGGAGCAGGGAAGGGCGCTGGTTTTCCTGGGCAGGAGGAATGCTGCGTACGTGTGGTACTGGAGGGGCAGGGACCCTCAGCTCAGGCCCTTTTGAACTCTGTTAATAGGAGCCGTTTGTCACCGCATTCCATTGCCTGCCATGGCCCTGCCCTCATCCCTGTTTAGCAATGCTGTATGCCCCTAAGCCTCAGCACCCCAAGGGCTGGAGATGCTAAACTGGTCCAAGCAGACAAACTGCAGGGAGCTGTTGTGGCGGATGACAACGTCATGAATACAAATGCAACGTGTTTGGAAATGCATCCTGCCATCATATCCAGCAGCTTCAGCAACACAAGCTGGTGAAGCATCACCCAAGTGCAGGAGGGACAGGGAACCGAGCCAGGCAACCCTTTGGTTATCAGCTCCTAAATCCAAGAACGTCACGAATGTCTTCAATCAAAGGGTGCTGCTTATAAACTGCATCATAAGAGAAGCAGCAAAAAAAAACCCCACAGGCAATTAATGTTCTTTAGCTGTGTGCGTGACCAAAAATAGGCATTAGAGTCCGCAGTGGCTATTTGGGGGTTGCACTGATTATTCTTCTTCATGTTGTTTGTCTCATTATTCTTCTTCATGTTAATGGGTTATAGCAAAAACCCATTAACATGAAGAAGCTGTAAGCCAAGAGACTGCAGGGAGGAAGGAAATGAAAACAGAGGGTGGGGGGAAATCTACCTGGTCAGAATGAACAGTCCTTTCACCAAGGGACAGAGAGAAACAAATTTAAAGACAGGGATTCACAGTCCCTTGTCCAGAGACAAAACCCAAACAACACAACTACTGTAAAACAGAATGAGAAATGCAGCTCCCATATTGCATCCAGCATGCCCTGGGAGAGGTGGTCTCATGCTGAGGCCTCTGGACAGGACTGAGAGGCCAGAGGAGATAACTTGAGGCTAGTTACTTGGTTAAAATATAGATTACAACCATATGTTGCTTTGCCTTGACTTGCCCTCAGAGCTAGATCTTCCTAGAGAAGTGATTTAGTCTGATTTTAGGCAATTTGTGCTGCAGTAGAAGAGATTTAAAAGCACAATCATTGATAGTTATTAAAACATCTCTGGGATGCTTTAGACATCTCTGGGATGATTTAGACTCACTACTACCCTCACCCCTTCCCCAGTTGTAAGGGGGAGCAGTTGCAGCTGGTCTCCTGTAAGGGTAACACTATTTCAATGCAGTTTTCCCCTCACTTCGCATCCCAAATATCCTCACATAGTGATAGGAACCATGTTTGCTTTGCAAAGAGGGAATACATCAAAATCAATGGAAAATTCCCTTCAACTGGGCTGGAAAAAGATTCAGGCTTAACTGTTCTCCCAGGCACCACTGTGCTTTCAACACCTTGAGCAAAAGTACTTTGCATTTTGCTAGCATCTGCTGTCAGTATTGCCCAAAGTGGTGCCCAAAGACACCCAGATTGGTTTTCTTCCAGAATGCAGGAGGTTGCAATTTGGGTTCTAGAAATACAGCCCGAGGTTTTCCCAAATTTTCCTCATGTCTAAAATGCGTTGGGCATGGTGATGTTTAGGAAGAGTTGGGAGCTAATGTGGCTTGGACCATGCTCCCCGCACTCTTTTGAAGGTCAGTTTGAAGTTGGATTGAATTGAAGGGCAGAGCTTTGGCAGCATTTTTTATGTGTTTCTGGTTTTCACTAAGTCTCAAGTGTATTTGATTCTTTTGTTGAAAGAGAAGCATGATGAGTAAATAGCAGTACTTGACACCTTATATTGTTTGTTCTATCGGTAATAATCAAACTGCACAAGAACAGTAGCAAAGTGAAATAGTGTTTTGTAGCCTTCCAGCATGAGAAGGCTTTTCTGCTTACTTGGTCCTTTGGTGTCCCAGTGTTTATTGTACAGAGCCACATATTGTTTGTCAAGACTCTATATTGTTCACACAGTCCAAAGCACAAACCAGAGCATGAGGCTCAGCCTTTGCGTTCAGTGTTAGAGCACAACATGTAAATCACTGCAAGTAAATGATTCCAAACTGTTCCAACAGTGTGTATGTGTTGTTTCCCCCCTTGCTTGCAGCTCACATCAGGGGTACAAAGGACAGGGATGAGCCAACAGAAAGTCCTCAGAATGGTGTCACCAAGGATGGGTGTATGACGGGAAGGGGAGCAGTCAGCTATGGAGTCCTACCATGGCCAAGCACAGGAAATCTATTGGCTTTTTCAGCAAGGTGGCAATTAAACAGTGTTGGAAAGGCTTTCCTGCCACTGTAAGGAGGTTAGGGAATAGAATCTGGGAATCAGGTTCCTCCCAGATACTGGCTCCATCTCTGAAACAAAACTAAGAAGTGAATTTGGATTCAGTCTTTTTGCCACTCAATACTTCCAAGTAACTGCTGCAGTAAGGAGGAACACCTACTTAGCTGACCTAATACCATCACTGCAACGAGCTGATTCCTAACAAGACATAGAGATCAAAAACGGTACATAAAAGAGAAAGCAGATTTTGGGGGCAGGAGTGGGAAGCACTTACCTCACTGACAGTTTGGGGGCACCCTCTTACCCATCACAGTCTGCATTAAAGCACAAGGAGGAACAACAAAGCGAACCTGCCAGAGCCCTCTCAAATGGATGTCACCAGCCTGTCTGCTGCACAGTGAGGCTGATGCTACTGAAGCATTACCCATAGAGGTGGGGGCAAAGGAGCTGTGTTTTTGCTGCGCAGGGAGTGCATTTGCCAGGGACAATCCTTCCCACAGGGGGGATTAGCACGGGGTTACTCAGTAATTCCCAGCTCACAGCACTGAGAAGCAGCAATAGCTGCTGCAGAACCATTCTTCTCTTAACGCTGCTGCTCGTTGTCACTTTGGAGTTATCAGAAGCTTTTCCTCCTCCCACGGTATTTAAACGTTAAAATGGGACTGGCCCCTAATCCTCTGTGTGCCAGGAGAGTGGCACTTAATCCACCACTGTGCAGTCATTGACAGTGATGGCCATAGAGGTTTGCAGCCTGTTCCTCTGCTTCCCTGAATTTAGTGCCTGCTGAATGTGGAATCATAGAATCACAGGTTGGGTTGGGCTGGAAGGGACCTTAAACCTCATCCACTTCCAACCCCTGCCACGGGCAGGGACACCTTCCACTAGAGCAGGTTGCTCCAAGCCTCTGTGTCCAACCTGGCCTTGAACACTGCCAGGGATGGGGCAGCCACAGCTTCTCTGGGCATCCTGTGCCAGCGCCTCAGCACCCTCACAGTAAAGAACTTCTTCCTTATATCCAACCTGAACTTCCCCTGTTCAATTCTGAACCCATCACCCCTTGTCCTATCATTACAGTCCCTGATGATGAGTCCCTCTCCAGCATCCCTGTAGGCCCCCTTCAGATGTACTGAGAATAAACCCAGCGAGGAAGGGGCTCCAAGATGCCCCTGAGAAGACAGCTCAGACCTGAAGCCTACCCAGTTCTCCAGGACAGCTCTCCCGAGCATCACAATGTGAGGCAGCTCTGCAAATCCCATCCCAGTGCCACACAAGGCTCCCTATCTCCATCCCATCCCCAGCACCTCCATGCTGCTTTCCCACCCCTCTGTGCCTCTGGAGGGACCATCAGTGGCCCCATAAGTGGGGCAGCTGCAGCAGCGCAGACAGCACACTTGTTTTCCCCCTTGGATCAAAACAACATCAAACGGGGCACTTCAGAGAGCTCAGAAGCCTAGCTGGCACATATGCTGTTCTGCAGGAGACTTTGATTATCCTGCAGATATTTTTAGAGCCCCTTGTAAATGAGCTGTGGCTCCATCCGTGTGGAACAGCTCTGCAAGAAGCAGCCTCTGGTCCCCTGTGCCCACTGCTCTGTGTCACCACAGAGCCAGCCCCATCCCTCTGATTCGAACACCTTGGGGGTATCCACTTAAACCCACTCGTGTCACTGATGTGCTTGGCTGCCCATGCTCCCCTCCTTCCTCAGGAGATGTAGATAGGGAAGACAGACCCAGGAAGCACCGCAAACCTCTCTGTAATGCCTGCAAGCATCACATCACAACTCCTGTTTCCAGGAAGAAACAACACGTTGGGGTTATTTTGCTAAATCAAGTTGTAAATGCCAGCTGCTGATCAACAGCCATCTCCATGGACCATGTCCAGGACACCAGCGGGGCTGAGGAGGAGCACACCAGGCTTTAGTGCTATGACAACCATCACAAAGGAGTGTTTCAATTTCCTTTTCACTCCTGTTAACATGACAATCAGTGGCCCTAAACACCAAGGGCACCTTTAGCCCTACATCAGATTTACTTGTGCAAGCTTCCCTTCGTGACACCGGCTCATGCACTTTGCTTGAAGGCATCTTGCTTTAAGACCTTGGTTTGAAGTTAGCATCAGGAAGCTGATCACTGCCAACCCAGTTGGTCAAGTGTCCACAGCACAAAACCACTTTAGCAATGCACTTCACACACTGCCCTGACTTACACATGGTTGAGCTGCTGAAAGTGAAGCATTGCCCTGCTTTGTGTGCTGCCAATTGACTAGCAAAGCAAAACCCCAGAGATGAGGTTTCCACCAGCCTGGAGCCTAAGCTGGAGCCCTGACAAGCACCAGGACATTGCTTACTGCTCAGAAAGAAGTGATTTTAAACCACTACAGTGAAAGCTGCCAGGTAATGGCAAGTTGTTTGTAATACTTGGCCTGCTCAATGACTTCGAGGAAGTCACTAAAAGCAAGTTTTTCTATTGGATCACTGATTTCAGGTTATTTCCACTTCTGAGTCTGGAAATAACCTCTCACTTCAAGTCCCTTAGTTAAAACTGGGGGGCATTCAGTCTGAAATCGAAGCTTCTGCACAGTCCATCACCTATGGGGTCTGATGCATCCATACACATGCTTTCCCTTGGACCAGAAACCTCTAAATCCAAATCTCCATGAAAGCCAGAATTTCCACCCAAATTTCCTTTCGTTTGGGAGCACCAGCAAGGTGCAAAGCATTTCACCTTGCAACAGTGGGATACAGCTGGGCACCTAATCTATGGATGCTCAAGTCCAACACTGTGAGCATCCATATGGCAGCAGAACCTCAAAGGGGGAGCAAAACCCTTTTTATGCATTAAACATTTGCTACAGGGCTAAGCTGCTTGCCCACTTCATGTAACACTGACTTACCCGCTGGCACCCATCTATTCCCAGGCATCCATGCCCAAGATCAATTGGAAAACTGGGATCCCTCCTGAACCAGTTAAACTAAAGAGCCAGTCCTGTTTATGAGAGCTTTCACCTGTATGTACTGAAGCTCATCAGTACCATCAGCATCAACACTTACAGTGCATATATAGGATCCGTGCAGTCGGCTGCACTGCTTTGCTCCTGTACGTCCTGATTTCCCCCACAGACACATTTACAGCTCAGTGAGCAACTGAATGAGCTGGAAGGTGTTTTTCCTGCCTATGTTCCTCTCTAGCTGTGGCTGACACCCTATAGCGGGGTTAGCCTAAACCTCTGCAATGTCCTCCCTGCCTGCACTGCCCTGCAAACCCAAAGTGAACCCAAAAGGAGCCAATGTTCTCAGCTTTGACAGTGTTTGGTCAGGAAACACAACTCACAGCCCAGCGCTAACCCATGGATACTCCAACTGAAGATGTTGCCTCTCACACCCATGCAGATTTAGGAGGTACAAGAACCTCCATGTCCAAAATGGCTCTTATTTCATTGAACTGTGTTAAATGTCCCACCTTTAGTTCACCCCTCGTGGACTCAGCCTCAACCATAACCTGAATGTCAAAGAACAAGAATACAAAGTTAAACTTGCCCTTTATTTTAAGGCTAGAAAAAGTCCAACTTCCCCAGGCTTTGGAGCACATAGAGCTCAGCAGAAGAGTCTCCATCCTTCAAGTGTCAATGTGTGTCACAAGCACAGCCCACTACAACAAACAATACCACCACTGCACCCAGCTAGAAAGGGAACTGCAAGGGCATCCATATCCTTACCGTATCCATATCCTCATCCTCATCCATAACCCTTGCTCTGGGAAAACAACATTAACCCCCACGCACAATGTAAAGAATGAGCAACCCAATGTGTTAAATTTAAATGTTTTTTTATTAACAAACATTTTACATTACAAGGATAATATGACAAAAGGAAGGTTCTCGTGTACATACTATGATATATCAACATAGCTCTATTCGTATCCAGTGTCCTAGGTCCTTTCACACAGGTACTATAAAGCATAGTCTGTAAAGTAATAACATTTTTAATGTTCTCCAAAAGAGTGATATTAACATATTAATACATATGTAATAATAGACGTCTAGATATTTTCCTCTCATTTCATGTGTTTGTGTGTGTGCGGTGGGTGGGTGAGAGATCGTTTGAAACAGTTCAGCAGGGCTGTGCTTGTGGATATGGAGAGGTTCGAGGCGAAACCTCCTGTTTTCTGCAAGTAGAAAATGCCTTTTTTGCCAACAGTCGGGTGAGTTTATGAGGATGCCATTGACTGGCAGAAAAACTCCGTGGCCCTCCCATAGCATTCGGGACATTACAGCATATGAGACATGGTTCCCTCACGAGGCCCAGCGAGCTTATTCGACATGAGGTGCAGTGCAGGGGGAGCCCCTCGCCGGGCTGAGCCTCCGTGAGTGTCAGTGGCATCCGAAGGAGAGGGCTGGGAGCGAGGAAAACCATCGCTGAGGTTCATGAGGAGCCGGGGAGGGCTCCCCATCGGCGCTGCATGGCCGGGATGGGGAGCTGCCGGCAGGCGGGTTGTGGTGAGGTGGATTACCAGTTGTGTGGAGGAGAGAGGCCAGGGAGAGGGCACTGAGGTGTGTGGTAGGGCTTGGGGGGAGCTTGCGGAGCTCAATGCGATACCAGTGTAATGAGTCGTTCCGTTCGGCAAGGCGGAATTACAACCCATCCTCTTCCCAGCAGTTAGAACCAATGGAGAGGAGCGCATGGTGGGGTGGACCTGCAAAGCCAAACCTCCATGCCTCCCCTTCAATGCTTAGGGGGAAGCAGCATGGTGATGCCAGCCCAGCCAGAGGAACCTCTTGGGTTGCCTCAAGCACCAGCCAGGGACTGCACCCCGCAGCAGGGTCAGTGTCCTAACAGTGGCTGTGTGAAGGGAGGGATGGAGGGATGAGGCTGCTGTCCATCCCGCAGACATGGCCACACAGGGGAGGCTGATCCAATGCCTGGATCCATCCCCAGTCTCGGCACAGAAACGCCTGTCATGCAAAACCAGCTTGGGCAAGACGGGTGCACCCTCTGGTGCTTCAGCCTGGTAAGGTCAGCACACAGTGTGCTGGGGCCCAAAGGCCACATGTGCCACTGACCACATCTTCTGCTCAATAACATCATTCCCTTTCCTCCAGAAAAGCCACCAGGTCCCCCACCCAGGCAGGATGCTCACCAGAGGAGCATCCATGAAGCCTGAGGGAGCGGAGTGGCTCCTGCAGCACAGCAGCAGCCAGCCTGGCCCAACAGAGCTGCACCATTGGGCTTACACACTCCCATCCTTACTGCTCTGAGCTCGCGGTCCTTTCTCATCCATGCTACTCCAGCTCCAAACACCATCCCTGTCAACCTCCGACCGCGCAGCAGCAGCCCTCCCTCTACTTAGGAATGCCTTGGCTTTCCTGCTGCCTTTATCCCAGTGCATGGCTGTGTCACTGACTGATGCCCATGAGCAAAGCCATGCTCTCGCTGGGCCTGCCAGCACCAAGGAGCACTGGGAAGAACAGCAGAAAGCCCCATTCTCATGGCACCAGTTGCCAGCTGCATCTGTGCAGAGAGAGCAAAGTGCATATGAAGGCAGGATATGCATCTGTGCAAGTGCGAACACACAGGCTCACTCGGGAGAAGACAGGGACACTCAAGCAATTTCCCCCCACCAAGACATTCCCCTATGACACAAACCTTATTTAGCACTTGGTTAACATGCCAGCAAGGACACCCCTTGCCCTAACCACAGCAAAGCCCCTCTCCATAGAGTGCTATACACCTAAATGCAGGCCTCAGTGTATGGCTAAAACTATCCCAAAGTCCAAAGTCTTCAGTGTTACGTGCCTTGTGCCAGAACACAGGGCCAGCCTTACACAAGGGTGGTTGAGACTATCTCTATATTATATCTTTATATCTATTGAAAACATAGAAATATATAAATATATAGGATTTTATTTATAGATATATAAGCATGTGATTTTAATCTTTTTTTTTGTATTGTGTGTATATGTACTGGGATGTGCGTATATACAATATATAGACCATATGCATATGTACTGTATACATACACTAGCTTACATGCACACACATCATACGTGTCTCCAAGGGAGACAGGAATTGCATAGGCATTACTGCATTGAATACAATGGCTGGGGGAGCAACGTACCATTTTCTCTGCTTTTAAGACCTCTTTCGACAGGGCTCAGAGGGCAATCTGCAAAAGCAGAGGCTGTTGATGCTTATTTGCAAGCCGGCTGTCTAGGTTGTCTTACCCACTGGTCAAACAAACAGCAATCCTCATGAGATAAGAAAGAAAAGGGACCCTGAAGGACCCCGAGGGCGACCTGGTTGAGTTTGTGCTGTGAGAAAGAGATGGGACTGAGCCTGAATCACGTCTGAGGAGCTGTATCAGCAAAAGCACAACAGCACAGGGGGGACATCGCAGCGGTCAGATGAGACTCAAGGCAGGCAACACATCAGGACCTTGCCCATCACGTCCCCTCTCAACCCCCTGTGGCTCCCACGTGCTTTTGCTGGTATGGGAAGAGCTTTGGTCTCTTGTGAGGATTATCCCTGCTGAGTTCGGCCTCGTGGCCAGAGGGACCCCTGCGGCCACAGGCGAGCCCTGCAGAAGGACATGTCTGGATGTGCTTCACGGATTCCTGCTTCACAGCAGGGTGAAAGAGGCAAGAGCCTGAGCAAAGAGAGGGGAGGGGAGATTGGCAACAGAAACCCGAGGGTCTGGAGAAGTGTGCATTATTCACAGTCCAATGCCATAGCGAAGATACAGGGAGGGGGGGGAGAACACAAAGAGCTCATCTGAGACAAATTAAACCCTTCTCTCTGTGCAGCCAAAGCAGTTCAAGATGCTGTAAGCAACACGTTCAAAACAACCTCCTCTCAGTCAGCACAGCAGGAAAGGCATTGATTTAACCAAAACCATGGTGATCTCTGATCCAAAGAGCCTTCCCCATGCCTGCTGCTGCCCAGCCGGGCCCTGGGGATTGTAAACAGGGCACAGAATTAAATCTGCTCCTAGGAAAGGCCAGGCAGGGAAGCCAGAGGCACTTTGCATTGGTATTCCTCCCCGTCTTGCTCGTGCCTGCAGTCACGTTTCCATCCACAGCCTATCCATGGGAGTAACAGCTACAGATGGGAGATAGGCAGGGAAGGCTAGAGGGAAAGCTTGCAAAGCACCTGCATTTGTCTAGGACAAAAGCTGGGAATTGTTTGTGTTGGGGGAGCTGGGCTGGCTTTTTCCCCCATCCCTGACCTTTCCCACTGCAGGTATCCATAACATCCCATGGCAGGGAATCATGCTTCCTACCCATGCCGCTCACTGATGCACACAAAGTCATTTGCAAAAGAAACAAGCACTTTCCCTTTGCCAGCTGACTGCCTGGAGGAAAAACCAGCACTGGTGCACGTTCTGCTCTGCCATGAGGAATGAGAGCAGCCGGTGAGAGCTGTCACTGAGGATAGGATTCGCAAATGAAGCAAAGGAGTGACAAATTAGAGGAATCATTCTTGAACAAGCCTGTGGCAGCTCTTACTTGCCAACAAGGCAAGGCACCGTTTACTCCCCAGTGGCAACAGCAGAAAGGCTCAGAGCAGTTGTAAACGGGCCTCTCAGGTGGCTCAGCACAAGCCCTGGGGAGCACTCCTGTCTGCAAAGGTGTCTGGAAACTCAAGTGTCCCTTCCCTCCATGCAGGCCAGGCACTTTGGTGGGCCCATGTGCCCACAAGCTTCCACTGCTGCAAACAGCATCATAGAATCCATCGGGTTGGAAAAGACCTTTAAGCTCATCCAGTCCAACCATTCCCCAGCACTGCCAAGGCCACCACTAACCCAAGGCACTGAGGCCTCGTCTCCACGGTGTGTGAACACTTGCAGGGATGGTGACTCCAGCCCTGCCCTGGGCAGCCTGTTCCAATGCCTGAGCACCCTCTGGGGAAGGAATTTGTCCTAATATCCAATCCAAACCTCTTCTGGCACAGCAAGGCAGGTGATTATTTCCCCCCTGCAAAGAGCTGTGGAGTTGAACAAAGAGAAAATGGAAGAAAAAGGGAGAAGGGAAAACTGTCTTTACAGCCCCTCTGACAGCCAACACAGCTTGCATCAACTATCTGCTACTTGTTTCTTCTGCTGCTCGACAAGGAAGACTCTCTCCAGCCTCCCTATTCCTCTCTGGTGCATCCAATCACTTCTTGTCTCCAGCATCTACGTTCACCTTGCCCATCTCCAGGTCAGAGACTAACGGAGCAGCAATTCCATCTTTCTTTTTACATCTCCAAAATGTTAGCTAAGGAGGGAGCCTGCCTCCTCCCTACCAAGGAGCAGCACCCTGAGCAGAGCTGAAGCACCTTGTGTGGAGAGATCCCTATTTTACCATCAGTCAAACAACAGCCCAAGCCTGCCCAGCTGCAGAGGGTTTAATTTTTACTCCTGTAGACGAACAGGTCAATTTGATCACATCATTTATTGGGAAGAAAATGCAAACAACACCTATTATTTTGCTTGCTATGTGTTGCGCATCAATGCCCCTGCTCTGCAACGGCGCAATGCCCTGACCTAGCTCCCGACGTTGCCATCTGAGGTAAGGCAGAGGGGACAGGGAGTAAGTGCTACGGAAGGTAGGTGGGGTCTGCTCTACACCCCTTGGACCATCTGGCCCCATTTTACAGCAAAGGAGGCAGAGTCAGGACACAAAGACTGGCCACCACTAGTGCTTTGGGTAGGCTCAGTCCCACAGGGATAGAGGGAAAACGCTTCCAAAGCTCTGACCAACACCAGTCTAGCTGTTCCCATGGGATCTGAAAGCTGATCTGGTCCACAGTGGCTTGGCCACACATCTCTGCCCAGTGCTGGCTGTGTGGTTCTGCTGGGGGCAAAGGGGTTTAGCAGGAGGTGAGCAAGACCTAGGTAGAAGTGCGTGTTTTCCGGGGAAGACAGTGCGTGAACCCTGGCAGTGAAAGTGACTCCGAGAGAGATCGGTTCCAAACATGCTACATCTCCATTGAAAACAAACAAAAAAGTTTAAAAAATAAAATAATATTTTATATATATATATATATTTATATAAATGAAAAGCTATCAACTAGCAGCAACGGTTCTAGAGATATCTTAGCACCAAGACCAAGGGCAGGGGGGTAACAGGAGAAAGGAAAGGTTCAGTGTTGCTGATACCACCATCATGTTTCCAAACAACACAGCTTGGCACAAAGCTCATCCCTCTGGGGAGTGAGAACGTGTCGGACACCTTCTGGACAACATGTTCTCACCCCCACGATGATCTGGTCAGGTTGGTGCTGTCCATGCCACATCAGCAGGGCAAGGCACTAGCATCTGTGGAGTTTTTGCACCTTTTTGTTTGTGTGGGGTTGTTTTTTTTTGGTTAGTTTTTATCTTTTTTTCTCTTTTTTTTTTTTTTTTTTTGCTTTTCTAACCTGAAGTGATACTGTGTGAATACCTGGAGCTCGTTTACTGTAAAAGAATAAAACAAAGAAGAACCCCAAGCCCACAGAACAATCTCTATGTGATGGAAGGTGCAAGTCCCCCATTCACATTTCAGCTGGGCTTTGCATCCCTTCAAGAAAGGAAGAAGTATTTCACAGGAAAAAGCAGAGCAATCCCTTCTTCCTGCTGTCATCAGTTCTGCTGTGCTGTGGAACATGTTACCTTGGTCACAAGAGAATACGTGAACCTTTGTAGAACATCATCACATGAATATAATCCAAGATAATCTTGCATTGATAGCTCCTGCCACCAAAGCGCAGCAGGTTTTTCTTTCAGTCATTCCAAAAGAAAACAAAAGGAAACAGAACAAAACCCCCCACAACAATCTAGGATTATAAAGACATAGTATAAATAATGTAAATTAGAATATACTTTTTAAGCCTTTGAATCTCAAAGCCCATGGATGGCTCTTGACTCATTGGCTGTCTAGCTTCCACAGCAGCCCTGGTTTTCGAATGAATAGTTGTATATATATATATATATATATTTATCTCCTACAATATAAAAATATAAATGCAAAAAATTTCCCCCTGCCTTCTCTAATTTGCTATTTTATAGTCTGCACATGACATCGTGTTAGAATATATGCATGATAGACTGGTACTACTGTAATCAGAAAAGGAGCTGAAAGCCAAGTATTACTCTACAGCCCAAAAGGAAGAAGACTGAGAAAGAGGCATCACAGTTTTGTTGCTAAATCAAAAGAAAAACCCAAAATCACACCCCCAGCCTCTCCCTCCTGCCAGTAATCTCTGTGAGTGAAGATATCTCCCACTCAGCTAAGAGAACTGGATGGAGCTGGAGAACTGGGGACAACAGAAAAGCACGGGATACTCTGTCAGGAATCAGAACAAAGGGTTGTCAACATAAGGCTCAAATGGCTCAATAACCAGACTGAACAACGGAAAGAGAGGCAGAGATTCAAACTGAGGAGGATAAAAAACCCCAACAACCAACCCCAAAACAAAACAACACAAAAAAACAACCCAACAACAACACACATACAAAAGAAACTGCCGGGAGGATGAGGCTGACAAAGACCCGTTGTGTAGCTTATAGAGAGCTAGGTTTGAACATGTAGAGTATGGCCCCAGCACATGCTTCTAAAGAATGAAATGTTGCCACCTACACTGCAGCTGCCATGGTTGGAGACACCAGTAAAAGTCTAAACGTTGTCTCAATCTTTAAAACTCTGCTTAGCTTCTATCAGACGCACATCGTCTTAAACTTTAAAACTTTCAGTGTGGGTTTCTCCTTAATATAGATAATATATATATATATTTTATATAATATATCAAAGTTTAGAGTATAGATTAAAAAAATTATTCAACAGCTTTCTGATCTGAGGCATTCCTTCCTAAATATCGGGGTAAAACTCAGAGCCGTGGTCCATGCTCTGCAACATCGGCTTCTGATCAAGGGACGACATCCTGCTCAGCATTTCAGCTGACAGAGCATAGCTATTGCCCGACTTCTCCTCAAACCAACTATCTAGTGCCCTTTTGCAATCGAAGTTGGCAATGGGCGGCCCGTTAACGGCAATGGTCAAAAGATCACTGAGCTGCTCCAGCGTGAGCCGGGAGCGGTTGTTTTTGCGCACTCTCTGCAGGGCAGCGCGCCCCTTCTCACAGCAGGCCGATGAGGTGGGAAGGACTTTGAGGATCTGAACTATTTTATTGAGGAGGGGGAATCTCTGTTTGTATTTACAAATGTGACTGAGCAAGTCTTTAAAACCATTTTTGGTATAATAATCCACCTTGAGTTCTCGCCACTCCATCAGCAGACTCCCGCGGGTGTCCATCCCCTCTCGGCAAGCCTCTCTGGAAAAGGATGGGACCGTCTCCAGGTGTTCAAATATCTGTACCATATCCTCCTTCCCATAGCTCATGAGCTCATCAGTGCTTCTGGGCCACGTTGCAAGGTCAAATACCTGACAGGCCTTCACAAATGTCCGGCTACGGGAATCAAACCTTTGGGCTAGGATCACCTGGGTCTTCTGGCAGATCTTTTCTCGGATTGACTGGAATTTGGCTTCAGCCACCCGGAGGTTTTTCACAGCAATGCCATTAAAGCTTTCACGGAAGTTTTCCTCAAACTCCTGCAAGTATTCCCCAGGTGAGTCTGCAAGACGGCTGATTTCTTGGATGGCTTCCTCTATCTTATCATCCACCTGTGACACAAGAAGGTATTCCCCTTGGAAGACGTAGGCGAGGCGTGAAAGCACAGCAATCACATCCAGTAGGAAGTATATAAGTTTAATCGACTGGTAGTCCATCAGAAACTGCAGAAGGGCCAAGGCAATGGCAGAAGCATCCGCTCTTTGGGTCTGGCCACTGACATCTTTGAGATGGGCCACAACCTCAAGGTAATCCTTGATCAGAGCATTGAGCACATTCTGCTCCCCGATGATCCACTTCACTGCTCTAATGTCCCCCAAGAACTCGGTCTCCTCACACAGAGTGGCTGCAGTGACCCTCAACTCACACATGAGTCGGGGAGAGTAACGATAGAAACTGAGCAGCTGCTTCAGATTGTTTTCCAGCTCCTCCAGGCACGGCAGTTCCTTCCCACTGATTGCATCCAAAATTTCCAAGTGGGGCCTATGTACCATAAAGGGCAGACAGAGAAGCCAGGGCAAGGTCTTTCTGATTGTCATGAACAGGTTGGCTCTCAGGCTGGCAGTAATGTTAGCACCATCGACTCCCAAGCCAATAGTTGGCTTCTCATCCTGCAATTGTATTCCGAGACTGGAAAAAGCCCTGTCTAATGCTTGGAGGTAACTGTCTGTTGTAGAAAAGCCCAGTTCCTGAAGAGACAGGAATTCTGTTGCCGGAGGCCCATCGCTGCTTGTGTACTGCACATAAACTGCCACGGTATCTGCAAGCAAGTCATCACTCTGCCCATCTAGGATGATGCTAAGGAAGGGAGACTGTCGGATGCGTTCAACAAGGTCCTCTCGAAGAGCCCGGGCAATGTGATGGATTAAGATTTGGCAGTCTCCCTCGTTCATGTATTGATCCACCACCTTGAGCTCACACTTCCTCAGCAGTTCTGCCAGAGGCCGAAAGTCATAGTAGGGCCTGCCCTCCAGGGCCAAGTGGTAGGCTGTGTTGAAGAGGAGGGTCATGTTCCGGCACATCTCTTCTGTCTTCTCTGGGTGCATCCTGAGCTTGTAAAGCTGCAGGCACTTCTTGTGGAGGTTGCTCTGGCTGTGAAGCTTTATTGTGTGTATCTTGAACTGCTTTGAGCCAATGATGAAGGCTGAAGTCCGAGAGGATTGCACTGTGTACTGCCTGCAGACGTGGCACCACATTTCATTCAGTGTCGGGGAGTACCGCAGAAACCAGAACTTTTTAAGCCACTCTTGCTTGAACCGCCGTATCCTTCGGCCCGTCGCAGAAGACATCTTGGAAGGCTCATCTGTAGCAGCAATCATGTCATTGGAAACTGATTCATCAGCAGAATCTACCTCTTGGTCATCGTCCTCCATGATGGTGGGAACAGAGATGATGCTTTCTGAAGCTGTAACAAGAACAAAAACAAATAGGAAAGGTATTTACAAAGTTGCTGAGCTAGAGAAGTATCCTACTGGTGACAGCAGAGCACTGCCTGATGAGGTGGCCGCAACCCGCCCTCTCCTGCCCCAACAGTGCACTACAGGTAGAATTTGAATCACGGCTTTGAAGGGAAAACAAATCAATCTTTCTGCATAGGAAATTCGTCTGCACCATGCCACAACGGACAGCAAGAAAGAATACTACATCCTGGCCGCTTACACAATACATGCTATGACCCACATATTCCCTTTGGTGAAGGTTCCTGGCTGCTCAACAACACATTCCTGAAGGAAATGAAATGTATCTTCAGAAAGGGACACATGGTTGTGTTAAGGTTGGAGAAACAGAGAGGGCTTTCCAACAAAGGGCACAGCAGGACATCATTTCATACACAAAGAGCGCACATTTCACTGTTACCACAGTCATTCAGGCTTGTTTGGTAGCCCTTGAGGCACTGCAGAGGGGCTTCCGCTGGAAGAGAAGGCATCAAAAATACAGCAAACAAACCGTCTGCAATGGAATGTCTTTTTTATTGGCAGTGCATTATCGATTACAATGGCAACAAAGAGCAAGTTGTCATACAGAGTCTTTCCCAAGACAGTGTTTTCCACTGTGCCCACAGCGTCAGCTCCTGGCCCACCCGGTCACAAAACCTGACAGCAAACCTTCCATGGAACCAACGTGTTCACCTGAATATTCAGGGCAAAAACGCTTTAGATGGGTACACAGCACACAGGCATCTCACTACTCTCCTTAGGCAGGGTTTGGAGAACGCTGTTACTCGGCAAGGCTTACCTGTGGGGTCTGAGAATTCTTGGAGCTCGGGTACCTGGGGCGGTAACACGGGTGGCTCGGGTAACTTCCCAGATCTCAGCATGTCTAACTCAGCCTGCAGCTCCCGGATCTTCTTCTTCAGACGGATGCAGTTGGGGCAGAAGGAGGTGGTGGGGATTTCATGGGAGTTGCCTTGTGCAGAGGCCAGTGACAGCTCTGTTGGGCTGTCTGCTTTGAGTGACAAAGGCTCTTCTTCCTCATCGTCAAGGATTCCCATCTCTTTGGCGGAGCTGAAAGAGGAACCATGAGGGACCTTCCATTCCCCCTCGCTCAGGTTTCTGCTGAGGCCCAGGGAGCCGTGCTGCATGGCACTGCCACACCGCTCAAAGATGTCTTCAGCCTGGTATTTAGATGCTTTTCTGATGGCAAGTGGTGTACTTGTTACTAACTGGTTCTCTTCGAATTTGGCGGACTCCAAAGAAGCCTCCAGGACATCTTTGAAGATGAGGTCAATCTTTTTCTTCTTTGTTTGGGGGTGGGATTCCCCCTCCTCACAGCTGCGCTTGTAAGGGCTCTTCCCTTGCTTTAAGGTGGCGAGCTGGAGTGGCCCCCTCGCGTCCTCTTGGTTCTCCATGTTCTTTTCCAGCTTTTCCCTCTGTAACCTTTTGTCTCCTAGAAAGGAAAACGAGGGGTGGGGATTATCACTGGGAACCCAGCAACATCCCTCAATCTAAAACTCAAACAGAAAATAGAACAAAAAGGCAGGCTGAATCCCTGCAGGTCTGCACGTTGTGTTCCAAACCAGGGAACTGACACAACCCAGTGGAAACCAAGGCTTGCGAGAGGAAGGAGCCCTGCTAATGGGCACGTCTGCAAAAACAGAGACAGTTTTGGGTAGCCACAGCAGAGTAGAACCCACACACTTTAAAGAGAAGAGCAACTACAGGCAGCTCGTTTAACCTAAAGGTGTAACCAACCTGAGCTGGAAGAGGACTACGAGGTGAATGACTGATCGCAGTGGAACCTAACACTCAGAGCCCAAGCACTATTTTGGCTGGCTGGAAGACCTATGCCTGTTTTGACTTGGTAAAAGGTATCAAGTGTACAGCGGTGCAGCGAGAGATTTGGACCATTTCATGACAACCATGGCACAAAGTTTGCAAGCCCCTTTACTCTCATTCAGTTTGGAGGCTGCTCCAGAAATGCAAAGGTAAAGGAGTAAAAAACAACCTGCACTCTTAAACCCCAAAGGTACTCATTGTCAACTGAGCTACAATGGGTGAATGCCCTCCAAGGATAGGGCATCAGTGGAGTCTAAGAGCATGGCCATTCAGTGATAAAATGAAAATAAAATAAAAGCAACCTCATACAAATTATTAATTGCTTAAAATAAATGGAATAGCCAGATTTCCTTACCTGGAAATTCAAAAGACGATAGGTTTGCCTCAATTTCCATCATTCTTCTATCTTGTAAATAACTTCAAGCATTGATGGCTTCCCAAACAAGACGCTGCTTTATGCTGATTTTTGGTTTTGTTTGCTTTTAAAGTGTATTCATGCTTTCATAATTGTTACGGAGCAAAAGCTACCATTCCCTCTCTAAGGAGAGCAATGCTATGAATGCAGAAAAGATGCAAGACTTGAAACAGTTAGAGTAAGGCACTATAAAAAAGGCTGGGCCGAAAGGCAGGGATTTTGCACTGGGTTTGAATGCTGTCTGGCAACCCCAGCCTCTTCTGGAGCGAATCTGTAACAACAGATCTCATTTTCAACACACTGATAATGATTTCTATGGGCAAAGCTTTTGAGCCTTGAGTATTGGTATTTGAGTCTTGGTATTTCCCCTGTTACAGACTAAAACAACTGCTGGAAGAGGTAGGGGTTTAGAGAATGGGTTCTTCTTCCCCAGTGATTTTTTCTCCCAACAACCCAAGTGGTTCAGCCCCATGGAAAAGATATAAATCACAAGATGTTCCCTCACATTACTGTTCTCAACTCCATTGGTGGGGCAGGTCAGAAACTGCCAACAGAAACAAAACCCTATGAGTTTAAAGTGTGCCACTTCACGCACAGGGCTCATCTGCAGGGGATTTGAAGTCTGTTCAATAGAAGGTGACTCGAGAGCTTTTGGTGCTGCTCCCTGACCACCTCCCAGTGCCCTTCTGGCTGAGTTGGTGATGTCTCTTGCAAGTCTAGCAATGGCCCAAGTGATGCTCTGTTTAACAACATCCCTGTGCTGCTTTTTGGAATGCAGGCTGAGCCCAACATGCCGCAGGATGCTCCTAGAATGTTCTGCATGGCCATGTAGTTTCTACCCGAGTGTGTGGTATGGCGGGTCCTGGTGAGCAGATCTTCACTGCACTTGTAGCACAGAGCAGGCTGTGAGTGACCATTTCAAACCACGACACCATGACAAACCATGACCAAAGGCATGTCTGTGTGGCAGGGCAGGAGCCTTGGTGCCCATCCAGAGCAGCTGCTCCAAGGGCATGGTCCTTCTCTTGCCATGCTAAGCACTAAGCCATCTGGACCACTAACGCGTGCATGTTGTGCAGCCAAATCACTGCAGCCTGGACCTAATCACTCAGTGATGTCCATTAACATAGAAAACCACATTTACATCAACGTTAATTCAGAAGTGGGAATTGCCCAAGTATAGTCATCAAGATGTGACACTGCAAGTGCATAATGACTCTAAGGTGAGAGAGGATAACCAGCTTTGTCAGGACACGTTGTCCACTCCATGATTAAAGAGGAGACACCTTTTACCAAGTCAAGGCAGCAACAGCAGCTGTGTAATAATATACATGGAAATCTTAATTAGAAAGTTATATTTAGTGTGGCTGCTCCTCTGAGGCCCTGCCATTCTGTGGGCAGGCCTGGAAAGAAACGCCCTTAATTAAGTTCAGGTATCAGCACTATATAAATGGAGAGATGCATTAAGAGTTTTTGCCTTCCTCTAAAGCTTCCTATATTGCTGACATTACACTGACCTAAAGGACCGCTGGGTTTGTTCCAGAATGGCTACTCCTTAAGATAAGAACAATTTTTATCCAGGGAGGAATCAGTGTGACAAGAACAAAGCCTCCTGTATGCTGTACACGCACTCTAAGGTTGTGAGACTAAGGAGTCTCTAGCTGATGTCGCGCTGATCCCAAATTATCTCTCTGAAGAAAGAGGAGATAAATTAAGCGAGGAAAATGGACATACAAACACACCCAGGATATCTCTCTTTCTTATGCACACAAAACCAGATGGAGCCCCCCCAGATAGGCTACTCAAGGAGCCAGAGGAAGCAGCATGTTCAGAGGAAAAAACTAATGCTGTCTGTAGGATCTTCAGCCTGGCAATCTTCAGGCTGGAAAGTCTTGTGTTAGAGATGCTCTGTGATCCCTGGGCTTTGCTTCAGGCTCTTGCGCACACATGACATGACACAACACAACACAGGACATGACACAACGTAGCACAAATCTCGTTCATGATGTCCATGACAGTGGTTATCTGATTCTTCTTGTACACCTACCCATCCATCCATCCATCCATCCATCCATCCATCCATTCATCCACCCATCCGTCCATGCCATGCATAACTGGTGACTCTCGCCTAGAGGTGCTCTGTGTCCAGAAACACAGCTCTCCTCACCTAGCCTGTGCATTACCTATTTCACCCATCACACGTGGTCCAACAAGTGTCTCAGCCCAAGGGGATGCAGGGAAAAGGGAGGAAAGGGAAGGACTCACCGCTTGTGAGGTTCCTGTTGATGGTCTCCTGGGACATACAGTGCAACCTCTTCATGTAATCCTCACTGTACCAGACCCGCAGCTTCTCCCCAGGGCAGATGTCACGGCAGGCACGGAAGTAAATCCTCTCGCTGTGCTGGAAGGCCATCAGGTTCTGCTCCCTCTCCTCCCGGGAGATGATCACGTACCTGGAAGCAAGGTGACAAGGCAGGTGTGAAGCACAAAGCTCTCTCCTGTGCCCTTCCCTTGCACCAAAATGACAACCATGATGGAGCCAGAATGACCTTCATAGAGAGCCATCAACACAGCCACACTGGAAAGCATGGAATAATAAGTAATGGTGTGCAAATTGCCAGATACAGGACAACAAGCACAAACACCCAGGGAACACTAAGCCAATGGATCCATTTCTGCTGGGGAAGGGATAACAACAATGTCCATCCAACCTGAAGGAGCATCTGCCAGTGAGGGTGACACAGAATCTTACAGGCAGAAATATCTTTGCCTGGTGATGGAAACAAGGACTTCTTGACTCCTCACTACCACTTCACACCCCATGGACTCCTCCCTTGTCCTCAGGAACATCTGGAATATGGCAGTTTTCCTCAGCCAGTCTCTTTTCCCAAAACACCATCTCTCTTTTTAGTAGATACCAGATTTCCTTGCTTCTCTCCTCTTGGACAAGCAGAATTGAGATACTCAGGACAGAAACATGGACACTTAATGTGCACGGGGGTATTCACGAGTTGTCCAAAAGGAAACCAAGGACATGCCAGAACTGAAAGGTTTTGCACTTGGGCATTCAGCAGGGTGGGACATAAGAGTACAACCAGTCCTGCAAATGGAAACCCCAGCACTACACTGGGCATCTCTTTGTAGTGCTGACAGGAAGACTGCCTTCTGGGCATGGGATTTATCTTCCCAATTTAAACCAGCTAGATTTCAGCTCAGCAGAAATGTATTAATCCCCACTCCAAGCAACTGGCCTTCTGTTCACTTGCTAAGACAGATCTATAGCTAGGATCACATCATTTGCTCTCAGACTCCTTGTGTTCCTGTTAAGAGAACATTAAAAAGGCTTGATAAGACTGGTTCCAGCTGCCACCAACACGAGCTCCTAACACCCACCCAGAACCAGGAGGCCCCATCATTGCACATACAAGCAGATCTGAACAGTTCACAGCTAAAAGCTTTTTCTTCTCTTATTCCATTTGCCGGTATTACTCTATTATTATTACACATGCATTATATACTTCCTGCTGCAGTAACATTAATGAAGGCGAGTGGCACATGGCTCCTCTGACATCTGCTGCTACGAGTCCTTGACCAAACATTCTCTTATAGCTCACAGGGATGTCTTTGGCTTAAGAAATCCAAATGCTCTCCTCTTCTCCAGCCATGTGCACGCACACACAGAAGACACAAGCCCACCTGCACACGAGCCCACTAACACATATGATCACAAACATGGTGAAGCTTCCCACAGAACACCCCAAACAAGTCTGCAGTGTCTCAGACCACTCGAAGCTCTGGCAGTTCTGGTTTTAATGGTCAGCAACGGTGCATGTGCCTGCAATCAGTTGTATTTTTCCTAATGTGAACGACGCAGGATGCTCCGCAATCTTCAGTCATTATCCAAGCAGCAGGCTCTGGCACTGCCAAAATTAGCCCAACATTGGCTTTGGTTAACCCTTGTTTTACTTCTGAGCACAAAAGGCACTTTTAAACCACCGGCTTATGTGTGTCTGAGAAGGAAAGGAGGCCTGGAACAGCGCGGTGGGAAGGAGGTCCTGCAAGAGCACACAGCTAGCACTGCTGGGCTGTCACTTCTGAGTGTTAGCCATCACTACAAAAGGTGCATCAGGCATTCAGAGATGCCTGACAATACAACCCTTGAGATGCAGCAACTTGTTGTGGTCAGCCTGGTGCCCCACAGCACAGGAGATCCTAGAGGATGCTCTCCCCAGTCCAAGCAAAATGCCAGGATGCTTCTACCAGCGAGAGAGACCCTGCATCTGCCCTGCATCCCACTGCCCAAACAGAGCAATGACAAGATGAAGGTGCCCCTGCAAAGAAGTCTGGTCACCTGCATAGATTTATCGTAGAATCAAATCATAGAATGGCTTAGGCTGAAAAGGACCTTAAGATCATCCAGTTCCATCTCCCTGCCACGGGCAGGGATGCCTCACACTAGACCATGTCACCCAAGGCTCTGTCCAACTTGGCCCTGAACACTTATCACCCTGAGGTCCCTCACAGCTCCTTAGGGCAATATTCAAGGCTTACATTCCCACAGTCAGTGGCACTGAATTCAATGGGCAGGGGCAGGATGGCCTGGTGCATCCCCATCAAAGCGCACGTGACAGTGAGATGTACAGAATCCTCTAAAACACAACTCCGCATGGGAAAGGGAGAGCATGGTTAACTGTAACTGCTCCCATCAGGGCTCACTTTAACGATGAAGTACTTGATTGAGAATGAGCATGCTTTTCCTGTTCCCTGCTCTCTTTGTGCCTCCAGGTTTCTGCCTGAGCAGTGTCCTTCAGCTTTGCTGCTGCATCCTGCAGCTCTAGACCATCCTGGAGCATCGGGGAGCTGGGAGGAGAGCGCTGCTGCTTTCACCAGAAGGTATGTAGGAAGCCCTTAGCAGAGAGTAGTGGAATAATCCAGTCACAAACATGTTTCTTGACTGCATCTGGCAGCTGGTAACTGCTTTACACTCCTTGAGAGGAAGCTTTACAACTGCGATACTTCCCTGAGGTAACATAAAGAGGGATGAGATCATCCGCATAAATGAAACCAGTGCTGCTCTAGTGACCACAGAGGCACAAATGACACGGGTTATAAAGGACTGCATTAAACCCAAACTCGCCTGCTGGCTTAAGGTCTGCACACCACGGGCTGAGGATGGAGGAAGTCACAACATTAAGGAGCAGCCTGCTTGGCAAGGCAGGGACACAAACTGCTGCTGAGGGCAGAGCACAGGACCTGCCTTCACTGACACATCCTCCCGAGACCGCAATGCTCACACCATCAGCAACCTTCTTGTGAAGGCTGGAAAGCAGCCAGCCCCCTCCTGATGCCAAACACTCAAGCTGCATGGAGGCAGGACGGCTCCCTTAGTTTAGATGCCCAGGACACAAGTACTGCATGCAGACAGGCATGGCTCTGCTTGTGTAGTGAGTTTCCCTTGGAGCATGATCCCTGGAGGAGGAGTGGGATCAGGATCACTGATGGAACAGACCCAGCCATCCATAGCTGCTCCTGCTCCTGCAGGAAGCACAGCCAACAGCTACGAATAGGACACTTCATGTCTTGCTCAGTCCCTCAGCCAGGCTCAAGAACACCACAGATTCTTGCCCAGGCTACTGAGGACCAGCCACTGCACCAATGGAGACCATTAATGACTCATTTGCTGCTACTGGGGCTTAGATCAACTCCATGGCTATTGGAAACAGCGCCTTCCTGTTCAGGGCCACCTTTCCCATAGCCTCTCCAGCCAGCAGCACACTCAGGACACCCAATTGCCAGGTTTTGGGATGGCCCAGTGAGCATGCCCAGGAAAACATCACGGTAATGAGGAAGCTCAGGCTCCTGCCCACCCAACTCCTCCCCATGCCTACCCCATGCCCCTGTGTTGCTCACCCTCTGGCTTGGCTCTGGTGGTGCTCTGCAGATGCTCTGCCACGGCTGAGCACCACAGGGAAAACGCCATTCACTTGGCCTTTCCCAAAGCAGAGGCAGGGCAGGAGATGCCACATGAGAGCTGCCACAAGGCCAGGTAGATACCATGAGGTGCCATACCCACAAACCCTACCCCAGCACCTCCAGGAGACCCCAGCATGTGTAACAGGCTTATGACCAGCTCAGGCAGATGTTATAGGAGAGAAACAAACGACTCGACAGCTGTGTTAAAAGTGTTATATATTTATTGCATTCTTAACAAAAATACTTTGAAAGAAATAATTCATTTTTCAGCATGTACAAGACATGGAGATACTGGGGTTGAGCACAGCAGTTTGCTTTGACACAGGCACTTACTTCAACAGTCAGTTAACATGATGGGTGCAGGAGTAAGCATCCTTTGCAAGCCAGTACAGACAAGCCACTCCATCAAGGGGTCTACACAGGGCAGGAGATACCTCCCCGGAGCTGGGCCAATCTGTAATAGTCCACAGAGGAAACTGGGGGAAGACATCAGGCAGTTCACAGCACAAGGTCCTTTCTCCTGACCAGAGCCCAGCCTTTGGGTGTTTGGATGGAAGGCTGCACATCCTGCACCAGGAAACTGTCTGAACGTGTCTGTGTGGGCAAACTGATGGCAGCAACACCACCAGCTCCCTCCAGCGCCCAGCACCTATGGGAGCCTCCTCCTCTGCAGACCTGAGGGTTCCTGGAAGGGATCCCCCTGGACAACATGCAAGGAGCTTATCCTATCACAGTGCATACACAGGAGAACATCAGCAGGGACCAGGTATTATAAAAATATAAAATACTACTTTTAATATATAGCAGCAGCACTCTATGGACTCAGCCTTTAAAATATATCATGGTTTTTATTTCAGTTGTGATTCATAAATTAGATCCATTTCTACCACCTTTCCCAATCTTCCCTTCAGCTGAAGGGAGACTGTGACTTTAGAGAATACATGTTATAACAGAAGTAGAACTACATCCTCTGAGGAAGGTGAGCAAGTACTGCCCTGGTCTGGCACCAGCACTATGAGGAATGTCCTCTGCATGAAACCAGCACAGGTCATTCCTCGGAAAGCAGGTTTTTCTCCTTGCCAGACGTCTGCTTCCTTGAGCAAACCTTTTACCACACCACTAAAAATAAATTACTTGAATCAGGATTACAGAACAACTAAAATAGGACAAGCAGGAATGCCTGACACAGCAGACATCCATTGAACTTCCCAGCAGAGAAGCTAGTGCACTATACTTCTGACAGACAGCCCAGAGAGATTCAAGAAGATCCTTCAAGACCGCATAAAGCCATCCTTCTGCTACCCTGCACTGCCTATGTTCAATACCTGCTGACGTTTATACAACCTTTTGGCCTAGTCTGTAGCCCAGACATGACACTGAGGATGGGCATTCACATTGCCTGCAACCCACCACATACAATAGGACAGCCTGGAGAGCAGCAGCATGTTAACTGTGCTAGCTTGGAGCTTTTCCCTGCTAG